TGAATTCGCCTTCCTGTTAACCTTATGAATAAACCTTGGTCTTTACATTAGTTTTACCAGTTTGTAGCTGTAAGAGAACATGCCATAAATAAGTTCGCCACCTAACAACTGTATTTTTATTTTAAAATATACATTGACAAATTAATTTAATTATTAATAACAGAGATAAGAAAAATCGATTCTACGCTTATATTAAAATTATTATTTGCATGTATATATGTATTCATATAGAAAGAGATGTTCAAAAAAGACGCATCCACAATTTGTTTACAATGAAAGCACTCATTTCTAATTTTTGCATTGTAAAAAATTGTGGGTGCGTCTTTTTTGAACACCTGTTTCTATTTGAAGGAGTTGCCAGATCGATACAAAATTTAACATGTGTTCATAACAGAGATCATGATGCAATAAGGTGATGTATCAAAACAAAAACCTTTGTTTTTGTCTCGATTATCTGTCAATTTGTTTCCATATAATATTTCAAATGGTTGCAACACTACACATCGAATTCAAGTAGAATATACCCACTTTGAGAGTTAATCAAGATATCAGCTGCGCTAAATTGAGTACCTATTCATTCCAAAACATTTAACTTTTATCTGTTTATACCGCGCTTTTTGAGCTAGGCTAAGAACTTTCCGAATTTATTTGAATTCTCCGTGCCGTTCGGAAATAAACTTTATTTATTAGTCTGCTTTTCCACAGGCAAATTTTTATTTGTCAAATTCTGAGTTTGTGGGCGAGAGGGGTGCCAGGAAGAAAAACAAAAAATTGCCTGTTCAGAATTTGCCGTACACTCAAATTCTCCTTTGCTCTGTTCGTTGAAAACAATTTTGTTGACATTTCCATTTTAACCTATTCGTTTTACTGACACACAGCCGGCTTTTGTTTACAATCCTGTTGTTTTAATTTGTGTAAAAAAATAAAAAAAAAAAAAATATTAAAAAATTTTTTAAAATGTAAACACTTTTGATGTATCTTTCATTCTTTTGTATTTTGATTCGCAAATTTGGCAAAGAAAAATTTGCTAGTGGAAAAGAAAGCCATAATTTCAAATGGGAAAACAAAAAATTTGCCAAATAAAAATCTGCCTGTGGAAAAGCAGACTTATACGGCATTTACATTAGAACATTTTACGGGGTTAACCTACTTTATGAGGATTTATTTGACATACATGCAAAGGAATTGACAATTGAAACCCACTGGGTTAACGAAATCCGATTAAATGTAAACGTACCATAACTAATTTTCCAATTTTCAGGTGCTGCCATATTATTGTTACTCAAATGAATTTAAGGCGTTTAAAAGCGTAAATTATAGTCATTTTGGTGCTTTTATGAGAATGGTGCTTTTTTGATACAAACAAACAGCAGGATTGTATTTGAAATTATCTCAATTTAGTATAGGATTTTGAGTGGATTTAGTTTTGCATGGTAAATTGAGGTGAGTCCAGCTCGTTTTAGCAATTAAATCGAGATAATGCACATTATGGAACCTCAACATCCTGTGTCCAGTGACAAGGTGACAAGACGATATGTGCTATCCAGCGTGCTGAGTGAACGACTGAAGCCAATGGTCAATGATATTATTGGACCATATCAATCCACAATAGACCAGATTTTCACACTGCGCCAAATACTGGAAATGACCCACGAAAAAAAATCGCATTCGTCGACGCACAAAGCCGCATTCGACAGCCCAATCCGCTCAAGGTGTTTAAAACCATGTCTGCGTTTGGCATTCCTGCAATATTAATACGGCTATGCAGGATATCTTTAACTGGCACAACATTCTGCTGGAATAGGTCATGCGAGATGCGAATGTGATCATAAATGACACTCTGTACACCAAACAGCATATGTTACTCGCCTACAGCGACGACATCGACATAATGGGTCGAACATTGCGAGCGGTAACAGCCACAGCCAATTGAGCCAATTGAGAAGTCTGCCAAAGTGGGACTGGCAGTGAATGGCGAGAAGACCAAGTTGATAGTATCAACGCCTTCACTTCGCGGTAGTGAACGATTTTATATACCTCGGTACCATCATAAACAAAACTAATAACATCAGCTTTGAAATTCGGAGGACAATAGTGTGGGTCAAAATATGCTACTATGGTCTGAGTAAGCAACTCAAAAGCAAGAACACCTCTCGCCAGAACAAACTCACACTCTACAAGACGCAGAAACTACCCGTGCTGTTGTATGGACTTGCGCAAGCAGATGAGGCAACTCTTGGATTGTTTCAGAGACAAATTTTCCGATCTGCGTCGACGGTGAATATCGCCGTCGAATGAACCATGAGTTGTACCATCTATTCTTGGACATCGACATAGTCATACATATCGAGCTGCAGGGACTACGTTGGCTAGGTCATGTTGGGAGAATGGATGAGGATGCCCCTGCTTAAAAAGCATATAAAAATGATCCAGCTGATGGTAACACCTTAATTTATTAGTAATTAAGCATTAAATGTATTAGTAAAATAACAAACACAACAGGTACCACCTATTCGTCGACTACAAAGCCGCATTCGATAGTCCAATCCACTCAAAGGTGTTTAAAGTCATGTCTGCGTTTGGCATCCCTGTGAAATTAATACGGATATGCAGGATAACTTACTGGTACAATGTCACCAGTTAAAGTAGGAAAGGACCTTTCGGAGCCATTTATTTGAAAGAAAAATTCTCCGAAAGATCTACGGGCCGATCTGCGCCGACGGTGAATATCGGCGTCGAATGAACCAGGGGGGCTACTCTGTATTGCGATGCGTGAGAAAAATTGTAACGCATCGCGTAATTGGTACTCTCTAATTCGTTTTCGTATCTCCTTTCGCATCTACTTTACGCAAATGTGGCATCACCGCACTCTGTAATACGAAAACGCATGTCAAACTCGTTCGTTAAGCGCAAATATCTTGCGTTAACAAAATAGCAAACGCAAAGGAAGCGAAACATATAAGTAAGCTCCATTAAAGGTTTTATTTATATGTATATAAATTGTAAATTATTTTAAGTAAAAGGCAAAAAAGTCACAGTTACAGACTCAGCAACGTCAGTTCCTAACTTCAGTAGATTTTATGGGGCAACACAGTGATTTGGCAAAGGAACAGTTGCAGAGTTCAAATGCGAAACAACGCGCCAACAATTTGTGGACAAAACTGTCTGATGACCTCAATTCACATTGACCTCCTGTAAAAGATGTCCGTGGTTGGAAAAAGTAAAATATTATTTTTTTATATAAAATGTGAAACTATGTGTGCATATTTATAGGTTGGTGTTGATAACCACCTTGTCCAAGCAATTTCAAAGCAGCGGCCTCTTTTATTGGAGTTGGAATTGTTGTGGATCTATTTGAAACGACGAGCGTTTGAAAAATACATAAACGAATCTTTATTGAGACATTATATATAAATCTATAAAAATTAAATATTTGAAAACATTTGTCACATAATTCGTACTTATTTTCATACCCGTGGTCACTTAGGGAGAGTATATTTGATAGATCTCATAAAATTCTTTTTTTTTAATTCGTTCATCATTTGTGTTTAAAAAAAACACTCGTACCACACAAAAATATGTTTTCATTTACAATTTTTTGACGTTTCCTTTTGTCATTCTTCGTTATTGTTTACTTTGTGGCGACAGTGTTGCCCCATTTACAATTTAGTTTGCGAATGCGTTTGCGTGAACGTTACAGAGTACCAAATTGTACTCTTAACGCATTTAGCTTTCGCATCGCACTTGCTTTCGCAACGCAATACAGAGTAACCCCCCAGGAGTCAGACGTATTGAGCTGCAGCGACTATGGTAGCTAGGCCATGTTGTGTGAATGAATGAGAATGCCCCAGCTCAAAAGGCATATAAAAGAGAGCCTACTGATGTTTCCCGTAGAAGGGGAAGGCCACAAATTAGATGGTAAGACCAAATAGAAAACAATATCTTGGAACATGGTCTTTGAAATTAGAAGAGATGCGCACAAGACCGACGCACTTGGAAATCTTTTTTAAGTCACATGAGACTGACTGGTTGTTTATGCTCAAAGCAGTTAATGCTTTCCTTTTCATTGCAAAACTTAGATCATTAAGCTTGACTCGAAAGAGTATAAATAATTCACTTAAAATTTTATTCAAGTGCTTATCACACTTTAGTAGTTCCGGAACGAACTAGTTTATTGGAACTATTCCGAGAAAGGAACGATCGGAACTAGTTCCAGCTCTTTAATTAATATAGTTCCTTTTTGATCTCGTTCTTTTTTCTTTACCCTTTTTTCTCGTTCTTTTTTCTGATCTCGTTCCGTTATGATTTTTTTCATTTTTGCACAATTTTCAATTTTTGCATTTATTAACAAATAAACACGGAACTATGTGAGCGAAAAAAAAATTAAAAGAACAAAACGATGAAACGAGAGAGATTCAAAGGAACTATGTAGGAGTCGGAACTATATGGAGCAAAGGAACTGTATGGAGTAAAGGAACTATATGGAGCAAAGGTACTATATGGATCAAAGGAACTATATGGAGCAAAGGAACTATATGCAAAAACGAAAAAAAAAAAACAAAAAGAACGTTGAAAGAGAGAGATTCAAAGGAACTGTTTAGGAGTCGGAACTATATGGAGCAAAGAAACTAGTTCCTTTTTAAAAAAGGAACGAGAAAGATCGATCCGCTAAGTGAACTAGATTGCCCAACTCTATCGCCCTTACAGGCAAAATTCAAATAATAAAAGTTATTACATTATTACTTATTTAAAGTATTTACTGTATTGTTTAAAAATTTTTAACAATATCATAAATAAATAAATACATCTATAAATCCCTCCTAATTTGGATCGTAAATTCAATATAAATCAAAATGTATTTTAAATGTTGTTACAACAAGCCTTTCAGGGTTGGGGCTTTGTAACAAAAAATTAAGATAAGAAATTGATTCAATTTATGTGAATTTCATATAAATAGACAAAGAATAGCGCAAACAAAAACACTCAACGTTTGGTAAACAATGAACATTGCAACAACATTTCTATTTGCAATTTACATTATAGATGCGGTTGCCATAGCATTAGCAGATTCGGTGACATGTGTCTTGAGGGAAATTATTAGAACGGTATGGTATAAAAACTTGAATTAACATGTCTTAAATGGTATACATTACTTTCTTCCGTTTTAGGATGAGCGTATTCGCTTTAATGGTTATCCTTCGGAATCGCATTATGTTACAACTCCCGATGGCTACATTTTGAATCTATTTCGCATTCCATATTCAAATAATTTGAAGAACGAAAACTCATATCGTCCGGCCATATTGTTGCAACATGGGTTGTTAAGTAATTCCGATTGTTGGTTGTCGGGTGGCCCCGATCATGCTTTGGCTTATTTATTGGCCGATGCTGGCTTCGATGTATGGCTGGGAAATGCTCGTGGAAATACCTATTCACGTAATAGTACCACTATTTCCCTTAACAGTCCTAAATTTTGGCATTTCGATTGGCATGAAATTGGAACGATAGATATACCAACGATGATTGATTATATTCTGAAAATAACTGGACAGCGTAAGATTCATTATGCCGGACACTCCCAGGGTACAACGGTGTATTTTGTTATGTTATCGGAACGCAAGGAATACAATAAGAAAATCAAATCGGCCCATATGTTGGCTCCGTGTGCCTTCTTTGAACATGGAACTTCGATGGCTTTTAAGATTTTCCGTCCCTTGGTCGGTACTCCGGGTGGAATTTATAATCAAGTTCTAGCCGATATGGAGTTGATGCCACAAAATCGTCTCGTTAATCGTTTTGGAGATACAGCATGCGGCATTGATGCACTATCGAAAATTTTGTGTAAAAATATCTGGCTGTTGTTTGCCGGTGAAGGTTATCAAAATACCAATTTAACAGCGCTACAAGAATTAGTTGAAACTCATCCCGGTAGTTGTTCGAGTAATCAGGGTATCCACTATATGCAGTTGAGTGGTCATAATGCTGGTCGTTTTTGTCAAATGGATTATGGCGAAAAGAAAAATGAAAAGATCTATGGTCAAGCGACACCGCCCGACTATAAGCTGGATAATATTGTTGCGCCCACCTATTTGTATTCCAGTAATAATGATGGTCTCTGCAATCCCCAAGACGTTGATACTCTAGTTTCGAAAATGAAAAATTTGGCCGGTGATTATCGTGTTCCCGATCTCAGTTTCAATCATTTGGATTTTATTGTCGCCAAGAATATGCGGAGAATGGTCAATGAACCGGTAATTAAGAATATTTTCAAACATGAAGGTTAAACGGTTTAGAATGTGAATTGTGTAATTTATTGTAATAAAATGAAGTGAAATGTGAAAAAAATAAAATACTATTTATATATATTGTACCATCGAGTTTATAAAATTGAATTAGCTAGTTGGTCCCTATCATGATGTAAAAAAACCTTTGCTTTTGTCTCGATCATCTGTAAAAATTTTCCTTATAATATTTAATATGGTTGGCAACATTTCACATCGAATTCATCAGCTGTTCATCATTGTGCCATGGTCCCTATTTAGATTAGGCGAGTTTCAAAAAAATAAAAATATATTTTTTGAAACCGAGTTGCTTTGTATAGATGCATGAAGCCAGTTCAATAGATAACGATAAGCGTTGCTGCAAGTAAACTCGCCTAATCTAAATCAGGACTTGGTTTTGTTCACTGTTTAAGGGAAAAAGCAAAATAGAACTTCAGGTATGACATGTTAAGTTGACATTGTATGAATGTCAATTGACAAAGAGTCAGAGTCAAACTTGATTTTGGACGCCGTTCTCCTCCATTCTTCTACATTAAAAAAGTCAAGTGAACATGCTATGGCTGAAGTTCTTTTATGTGCATTACCCTTTAGCGTTGTTGTTATGCTGGCTGGTTCAGCTGTGTGTTTTAGGTTCATGGCCCCACATTGGGCGCCATTATTGTAACAGTCGATTTTTATAAATTAAATTGATCTGTTCATGCTGGCATTAAGCGCTATATTAAAAGGTATCAAATATAACTCACATGCTATATGTATATGCAATATGACAATAACAAAATATTTGTATTTTTCTTATCTTCCATCTTAACTGATATAGTTAGCCCCTTGAAAACAAACTAAATCACAGTTGATTGTTATATTAGCTGTGTCACTATTAACCGGTGGGGGTACATAACTAAATTTATGACATTTTTTCAATATAAATTGTACGTAAACAATAACTATTTTTAAAATCATTGGACTTGCAGTATAGATAATAGCGGTGACATATTTATTTGCTTATGGAAACAGCTCAAACTTGAATTTGGAGAGTAGGAATAGCATTGCATTAGAGTATGAAAATAATGATTGAAAAATTGCCACAGAAATTATGAACACAGTAAAATGTGTATGTAATCAAATAACAGCTGACTGTCAAACTTATGTCATTTGGGATTTAGTACCTCGATTTACAAATATAGTCGATGTAGAAGTCAAAGACTAAGCATTTGTACTTTTTCTGGAAATACCAATATGTGATAGCCATGACCATTTAGCGCAGTGATGACTCGATTAACTGTCAAAGTGTTAAATTTTTCTTTATAATATTTCACATTGTTGGCAACACTGCACATCGAATTCAAGTAGAAATTACCAACTTTGACAGTTAATCGATACATCAGTTGCACTAAATGGATTACCTTATCATTGTGCCATGGTCGAGACAAAAAAACAGTTTTTTTTTGATACATCACCTTATTTATTGCATCATGGGGATACATAAGAGTCTAAACACAACCAGAGAGTCAGGAGTCGGCATCATACTTTTTCGCACGCGTGAAAACCAAACGAAAGAGTTAGCGACTAGCGGCACAAAATGCCAATTATTTGTTTTCATTTTCTGATAGAATATTATACGTTGTTCAAACCAAATTCAATTTATTATTTAAGTTCCATTCCAGTACGTAAAAGAATCTACTAATTTTACAAGTTTTGCAACTTTTTACTCGAAAACCGTTCCTGAACTCACAAATCTGGTAAAATTTAAGAGAGCGCAAAACAAAATGGCTTTCTCTTTGTAAACTTTTTACTCGAGAAGAAATGGTCGAAAATTTATCCCTTGACGGCAAGTTAATAATGTTTGCTGGTGATATATGTTTACTGTATCCCTATAAGCATGATATTGAATTGAAAGTGAGAATGGAACGTGATGCGGCTTTGATTGTTGAATTTACTCGATTGAATAGATTGCTTATAAACCCAAGCAAAACTAAAATAATTCAATTTCGTCCTTATTTGTCAAGATATGATTCTACTTCGTTTAACATCTATGTTGATGGGGAAGTCATTAATGAGACACTATCTACTAAATACTTAGGAGTAACACTTCAAAGCAATCTATCCTGGGATTTGCATATAGATAATGTTAAAAGTAAGATAGCGCCTGCAATTGGAATCCTATATAAGATGCAAAATAATTTAAACTTAAGAACTAAGCTTTTAATATTTGAATCACTTATTCAATCACATTTAAATTACTTGGCTATTCTATATGTTTACAAGAAGTCTAACAATTCATTAAAATCTTTGCGATGCATGCAAAATAAAGCTTTACAAACTATTTACAATTTGCCCTTGAGATATTCCACAGAGTCATTATATAGGGACTTTGCAGTAAATGTATTACCTATTCATGGACGACATATATATCAAACTCTAGTTTATATTTTCAAAAATATCAAACAAATTGGCCACCATACAATCACTATTCCACAAAACCAAAATAATGTGCACACAAGAAATCAGAGCAACCTGCGAATCGCAAGATGTAGATTGGAAAAAATGTTTCCCTTGCAAGCTTTACTTTGAAAATAAAGGTATTGGAATAGACCAATGGTAGTCCATTTAGCGCAGCTGATGTCTGGATTAACTGTCAAAGTACGTAATTTATACTTGAATTCGATGTGCAATGTTGCCAACCATGTGAAATATTATAAGAAAAAAATTGGCAGATGGTCGAGGCAAAAACAAAGATTTTAGTTTGTTTATTGCGATCAAGGCCTATAAATAAGATCGTCCAGGGAGAACAGCTCGATATACTCTGCTTCTCAAGTTTTCTGTCAAAATCGTAAACAAAAGCCAACATTTTGACATTCGACTTGAGAAAAAAAAACAGCTGACTTTCTCTAGCTGGGTGACCTTATTAATAGATCTTGATTACGATATAGCGGTCAAGAAACTTTCGGAGCAAACTCGACAACGGTCCAAGGACAACTTTAAATACAAAAAAAAAAAGAAAAAGATTTTTGTTTTGATTCATCTCCTTATTATTGCATCATGAATTTATTAGTAAAATTAGGATTCTTTAACTGCATTCACATGAGACTGATTTGGTGAATATATATGCTCAAAAATGTATTGTTATTACATTATTACTATGGTATAATAATAAAAGGTAACAGCAAGTGTTGTTGTACAACAAACGATACAACAACCACATGGGAATTTGTTGTTGTAAGTTCTGCTAGTGTCAACTCTTTTGACAGAAAAATGTAAACAAACAAACAAATTATCATCAAAATATTTTTATTTTGAAAATGAAATATTTTCGAATCCTCAAAATAAAAATTGAAAAAAATGAATGAAAATCTATCAAATTTATATTTCTATCGCTTCCACATCTCTCTTATAATTGAGCCATTGCCATATATATGTGTAACACAAATGCATATGCTGGGAATAGCGAGTTGTTCCTTGAAGAAAGATTTGTTTCCTCCAACGATCCCAGCAGGCAGATTGAGTAAATTGAATACGGGAGGACATTTAATAAAGAACAATTTCGAATTGAATAAGTTCCCAATTTTCCTGTTGGGTGATTTTTAAAAACATAATTTGTCAAATGCATATTGACACTAGTATTACGTTGGAATCAAATCAGATGGGATTTGCTGTTACCTTTTTTAATTGTACCATGCATTATTACTTATGTAAAGTGTTTACTGTATTGTTTATAAATTTCGAACAATATCGTAAATCTATCACTCTAAGTTGGATCGTAAATTTAATATAAATCAAAATGCATTTTAAATGTTGTTACAACAAGCCTTTCAGGGTTGGGGTTTTGTAACAAAAAATTAAGATAAGAAATTGATTCAATTTATGTGAATTTCATATAAATAGACAAAGAATAGCGCAAACAAAAACACTCAAAGTTTGGTAAACAATGAACATTGCAACAACATTTCTATTTGCAATTTACATTATAGATGCGGTTGCCATAGCATTAGCAGATTCGGTGACATGTGTCTTGAGGGAAATTATTAGAACGGTATGGTATAAAAACTTGAATTAACATGTCTTAAATGGTATACATTTCTTTCTTCCGTTTTAGGATGAGCGTATTCGCCTTAATGGTTATCCTTCGGAATCGCATTATGTTACAACTCCCGATGGTTATGTTTTAAACTTGTTTCGCATTCCATATTCAAATAATTTGAAGAACGAAAACTTATACCGTCCTGCCATATTGTTGCAACATGGGTTGTTAAGTAATTCCGATTGTTGGTTGTCGGGTGGCCCCGATCATGCTTTGGCTTATTTATTGGCCGATGCTGGCTTCGATGTATGGCTGGGAAATGCTCGTGGAAATACCTATTCACGTAATAGTACCACTATTTCCCTTAACAGTCCAAAATTTTGGCATTTTGATTGGCATGAAATTGGTACGATAGATATACCAACCATGATTGATTATATTCTGAAAATAACTGGACAGCGTAAGATTCATTATGCCGGACACTCCCAGGGTACAACGGTGTATTTTGTTATGTTATCGGAACGCAAGGAATACAATAAGAAAATCAAATCGGCCCATATGTTGGCTCCGTGTGCCTTCTTTGAACATGGAACTTCGATGGCTTTTAAGGTCGGTACTCCGGGGGGAATTTATAATCAAGTTCTAGCCGATATGGAGTTGATGCCACAAAATCGTCTCGTGAATCGTTTTGGAGATACAGCATGCGGCATTGATGGACCATCGAAAATTTTGTGTAAAAATATCTGGCTGTTGTTTGCCGGTGAAGGTTATCAAAATACCAATTTAACAGCGCTACAAGAATTAGTTGAAACTCATCCCGGTAGTTGTTCGAGTAATCAGGGTATCCACTATATGCAGTTGAGTGGTCATAATGCTGGTCGTTTTTGTCAAATGGATTATGGCGAAAAGAAAAATGAAAAGATCTATGGTCAAGCGACACCGCCCGACTATAAGCTGGATAATATTGTTGCGCCCACCTATTTGTATTCCAGTAATAATGATGGTCTCTGCAATCCCCAAGACGTTGATACTCTAGTTTCGAAAATTAAAAATTTGGCCGGTGATTATCGTGTTCCCGATCTCAGTTTCAATCATTTGGATTTTATTGTCGCCAAGAATATGCGGAGAATGGTCAATGAACCGGTAATTAAGAATATTTTCAAACATGAAGGTTAAACGGTTTTTGAATTTGGTGTAATAAAGTGAAATGAAATGTGAAAAAATTAAAATACTGTTTATATATATTGTACCATCGAGTTTATAAAATTGAGTTAGCTAGTTGGTGCCAATCATGATGCAAAAAAAAACCTTTGCTTTTGTCTCGATCATCTGTAAAAAATGTCCTTATAATATTTAATATGTTTGGCAACATTGCACATCGAATTCAAGTAGAAATTAGGTACTTTGACAGTTAATCAAGACATCAGCTGTCCATCATTGTGCCATGGTCCCTATTTAGATTAGGCGAGTTTCAAAAAAATATATTTTTGACACCGAATTGCTTTGTATAGATGCATGAAGCAAGTTCAAAAGATAACGATAAGCATCCGCAAGTAAACTCGCCTAATCTAAATCAGGACTTGGTTTTTGTTCACTGTTTAAGGGAAAGAAGGAAAAGAGAACTTCAGGTATGACATGTTAAGTTAGCATTGTATGAAATGTCAATTGACAAAGAGTCAGAGTCAAACTTGATTTTGGACGCCGTTCTCCTTTATTCTTTTACATTAATAAAGCTATGGCTGAAGTTCTTTTATGTGCATTCCCCTTTAGCGTCGTTGTTATGCTGGCGCTAGTTCAGCTGTGTGTTTTAGGTTCATGGCCCCACATTGGGCGCCATTATTGTAACAGTCGATTTTTATAAATTAAATTGATCTGTTCATGCTGGCATTAAGCGCTATATTAAAAGGTATCAAATATAACTCACATGCAATATGACAATAACAAAATACATGTATTTTTCTTATCTTCCATCTTAACTGATATAGTTAGCCCCTTGAAAACAAACTAAATCACAGTTGATTGTTATATTAGCTGTGTCACTATTAACCGGTGGGGGTACATAACTAAATTTATGACATTTGTTTAATATAAATTGTACGTAAACAATAACTATTTTTAAAATCATTGGACTTGCAGTATAGATAATAGCGGAGACATATTTATTTTCTTATGGAAACAGCTCAAACCTGACATTTTGTTTATAAATGGAGAGTAGGAATGGCATTGAATTAGAAAAATTAAAATATAGATTGAAAAATTGCCACAGAGAGTACAAGTTACCACGGGCATTTCCTAGCCATACATCGAACCCGGCATCGGCCAACAAATAATCCAAAGCATTGTCCATGTTGCAGCAGAATGGCCGGGCGATAAGAATCTTTGTTTTGCAACTTATTCGAATAGGGTATACGGAATAAGTTCAAAACATAGCCATCGGGAGTTGTGACAAAATGGGATTCCGAGGGATAACCATTATTGCGAATACGTTCGTCCTGAAAGTAAAGCGAAACAAACAAAAAAATAAATGAATAAAATCACAAAAAATTTGGATTAAAAAATTAATTCCTACCGGCTTAACAAGCTCCTTCTTTTCAGTAAAATGTGTATTTAAACAAATAACAGCTGTCTGTTAATGTAATTTTTGTCATTTTAATACTAGTCTAAACAGCTAGGATTTATTACCTCGATTTAGCGCAACTGATGACTCGATTAGCTGCCAAAGTGCGCAATTTCTACTTCAATACGATGTTCAATGTTGCCAGCCATATGAAATATTATAAGGAAAAATTTGACAGATGGTCGAAAACAAAAGTGCAACCGGATTTCGTTAACCCAGTGGGTTTCAATTGCCAATTCCTTTGCATATGTCAAATAAATCCTCATAAAGTAGGTTAACCCGGTAAAAAGTTCTAATGTGTATGCTGTTTTATTCCATTTAACACGATTTGAAATTTTATGTATTTTTTTTTTGTCAAATTTAATTTTTGCGAAGTATGTTCATATCACAAAAAAGTATTTATGAAAGAAAAAAGTCTGAAACCATCGATAGTATCGATACTTTGCGAACACTAGCTAAAAGATTTAAGTGAATTCCCCTTTAGCGCGTACAAACAATTTTTACTGGTCAAAGCAAATGTGAATAGCACTAATTTAGGGGAATTCCCTTTATGTATATGTTCAATGTCTTTTTTACATGGCTTCTTCTGGAACCAATCTAACGTGTAAAAACAGACTTAGGTGTATTTGTTTTCATTTTTTTGATTTTTGACAGAACATTATTATACGTTGTGCAAACCAAATTCAATTTATTATTTAATAAACAGTGATGTCAAGGAACTTGGGGAAAATTATTGGAGCATTATTTCCTCGAAGAATTTTTCTTCCATTTAGTTATTAATTAATTCGTTAAATTCTTTTTAACAGCACTGTCATATGTTTTGATATATATTTCCCATGGTACAATTATAAAAGGTAACAGCAAATCCCAGCTGATTTGATTCCAACGTAATACTAGTGTCAATATGAATTTGACAAATTATGTTTTTAAAAATCACCCAACAGGAAAATTGGGAACGCATACAATTTGAAATTGTTATTTATTAAATGTGTTCCTGTATTCAATTTATTCAATCTGCCTGCTGGGAAAGTTTGAGGAAGCAAATCTTTATTCAAGGAATAACTCGCTATTCCCAGCATTTTCATATGTGTTACACATATATATATGACAATGGCTCAATTATAGGAAAGATGTGGAAGCGATAGAAATATAAATTTGATAGATTTTCATTCATGTTTTTAAATTTTTATTTTGAGGATTCGAAAATATTTCATTTTCAAAATAAAAATAATTTGATGATAATTTGTTTATTTGTTTACATTTTTCTGTCAAATGAGTTGACACTAGTAGAACTTACCAAAACAAATTTCCATGTGGTTGTTGTATCGTTTTTTGTACAACAACACTTGCTGTTACCTTCTATTATTATACCATGTATATTTCCATGTTTATAGCTCTGCTGATTTTTATCTAAAATATGGCAACTCAATTGAGAGCAAGAGAGAAAATTTTAGTATGACGCTGAGCAAAAATTAATAAAATCTATTCTAGCGCCAAGCCGCTAGACGCAAACGTCAGCCGTCGGGATTTCCCGTTGCCAATAAGAAACACACGGTAAACGACCGTCGCTGACTCTAGACTGGCTGGTTGTGTTCAGAGTCTAAACGCAACCAGAGAGTCACGAGTCAGCGTCATACTTTTTCGCCGGCGTGAAAACCAAACGAAAGGGCTAGCGGCACAAAATGTCAATTATTTGTTTTCCTTTTCTGACAGAATATTATACGTTGTGCAAACCAAAATCAATTTGTTATTTAATAAACGATAATGTCAAGGATCTTGGGGAAAATTATTGAAAAAATTATTTTTCTTCCTTTTTATTATTATTTATTCATTATTATTAATTCGTTAAAAAACGTCCACAATCTTTGAAAATATTTTTTTTTGTCTTTTTTTTAACAGCACTGCCATATGTTTTGATATAAATTCTCATTGAAATTTGGTAGCACTGTTGATTTTTACCTAAAATATGGAACTCAATTGAGAGCAAGAGAGAAAATTTGAGTATGACGCTGAGCAAAAATGAATAAAATCTATTCTAGCGTCAAGCCGCGAACGTCAGCCGTCGGGATTTTCCGTTGCCAATAAGAAACACACGGCAAACGACTGTCCAGCAACAGTCGTTTGCTCTAGACTCTGTGGTTGCGTTTTGACTCTAAAGCGTAGCAATTTTGATACTTTTAGGATATGTAATGCATTTTTTGTTGGCACAAAAGCAGTGTTGTATTTGAAATTGTCTTCATTATAGTACGTTTACATTGGGTTTCAATTGTAAATTCCATTGCATATGTGCAAAATAAATCCTTTCCTACTTTAACTCGGTAAAAAGGTCTAAAGTGTATGTCCCTTACACACAAATCGAGATCCTCTTTCCATCTTAACAACATACACACACAACTTCATTTAAATATCATTTATTTGTCGTAATTTATTGGACAGTACACTTTCAATACAAACCGTCTTCATGTTTGAAAATATTTCTCATAACTGGTTCATTGACCATTTCTCGCATATTCTTGGCCACAATAAAGTCCAAATGATTGAAAGTTTGATCGGGCACCCGATAATCACCAGCCAAATTCTTGACCTTTGAAACTAATGTGTCAACATCCTTGGGATTGCAAAGGCCATCATTGGTGCTGGAATACAAATATGTGGGTGCAACAATATTGTCCAAATTATAATCTGGTGGAGTGGGTTGGCCATAGATTTGTTGATTTTTCTTTTCACCATAATCCATTTGACAGAAACGACCAACGTTGTGATCGCTCAGCTGGATGTAATGGATACCCTGATTACTGGAGCAACCAGCTGGATGGGTTTCAATCAATTCTTGCATAGCAGTCAGGTTGGTGTTTTGATAACTATCACCGGCAAATAACAGCCACATATTCTTGCACAAGAATTGCAATGGCGGTTCCAAACCACAAGCCGTGTCAGCGGCGCGATTTACCAAACGATTTTGTGGCATCAATTCCATATCGGCAAAAACTTGATTCCAAATACCACCTGGTGAACCGATCAAAGGACGGAACACTTGGAATACAAATGAAGTGCCGTGTTCAAAGAAGGCGCATGGGGCCAACATATGGGCCGATTTAATTTTCTCATTGTATTCCTTGCGTTCAGACATCATGACAAAGTACACCGTTGTACCTTGAGAGTGGCCGGCATAATGGATTTTAGGTTGGCCGGTCTGTTCAATGATGTAATCGATCATCGCTGGGATATCAATGCTACCGATTTCATGCCAATCGAAATGCCAAAATTTAGGGCTGTTAATGGAAATGAGGTTATTCTGGCGAGAGTACAAGTTACCACGGGCATTTCCTAGCCATACATCGAAACCGGCATCGGCCAACAAATAAGCCAAAGCATTGTCGGGGCCACCAGATAACCAACAATCGGAATTACTGAATAGACCATGCTGCAGCAGAATGGCGGGGCGATAAGAATCCTTGTTTTGCAACTTATTCGAATAGGGTATACGGAATAAGTTCAAAACATAACCATCGGGAGTTGTGACAAAATGGGATTCCGAGGGATAGCCATTATTGCGAATACGTTCGTCCTGAAAGTATAGAGAAAACAAATTTATAAAATCCCAACAATTGTTCATTAACAAATTATATCATACCGTCTTAACAAGCTCCTTCAACATGCAAGTTGGATCAATGGAAGCAGCCGAAGCTACTGCCAAAAGACCAAAGCCAATAACAAGGATACCAGTTATCTTCATTGTTTGCAATTCACAAATCTACTGTTATTGCCCTACCACCAATGGAGACTATTTATATTCGATTTCATATTATAATTGGTAGAAAATGCATACAAAACCAGAAAATGGCAATGATAATGATTTGTCTACTTATCTGCAAGTGGCGTTCAGCTGATATGGAATCAAAATTATTTTTTTTTGGCAAATTTTGTGTTCTGGACTTAAAATCACAAACGATTAGTATAAAATTTATTAATTTTTGGGTAGGTGAGTATCGTCAGACCTCCACCGACAGCTAGCAGATAAATTGGAATATTTATGATGTTTTATTTAAGAATTTAAAGTAAACATTAGCCAAAGAATTTATCGCTTAATATAATGAAATTCTTTAAAGAATTTAGTTTACGTTTACATTGTACTGGCGGATTTAAATTTGCATATTTGCCAAATAAATCGACTCGGTTTCTAATTCAAGATAGAAAATCCAACAGTTTAGACTAGTAATAAAATGATATATGGTCTGTTCAAGTACTTTTTTAATAGTAAATCTAGTGAAAGGGAAACATTCCACAATTGCTCTCAGAGTACAAAATAGTTTGAAAAATTGGGAACGCAAATCTAGTAAATATGACAAAATTAGATGGCAATACTTCAAAATCGAAATAACAGCCAATCAGAAGTAGGCATTCCTGTTTACCATTTTACTCGACCAAATTTCTCGAGTAAAAAGTTTTCAAAGAGAACACCATTTTGTTTTATGCTCTCTTAAACGGCATTAATATTAGAACTTTTTACCGGGTTAAAACTCCTTGTACATTAGAACTTTTTACCGGGTTAACCTACTTCATGAGGATTTATTTGGCGTATATGCAAAGGAATTGACAATTGAAACCCACTGGGTTAACGAAATCCGGTTAAATGTAAATGTACTATAACCTACTCTATGAGGATTTATTTGACAAGTATACAATGAAATTGACAATTGAAACTCACTGGGTTAACGAAATACGGTATAATGTAAACGTGCTATTAAATTTGAGTCAATGTTTTACAAGTTTTGTGGGTTGAAAAACGGTATTCGAGTAAAAAGTTGGAAAACATCTAAAATGAGTAGTTTCTTTTAGGTTCTGGAACGGAACTATAGTCAGTCAGATGATAAATATTTACATAGTCCCAATTTAGATTAGGCGAGTTTACTTGCGGCAAGTCTTTGTTTGTAGGAGAGAGGGGCAAGGGGAATATAAATGAAAAAAAATGATCGTACCGACAATTTTCTGGCAATTCGTTTTGTGTATTTCGTATTTGTTGACATTTTATATATATTTAAATGTGAAAAACAACAAATAAAAAAAATAATAAGGTGATGTATCAAAACAAAAACCTTTGTTTTTGTCTCGACCATCTGTCAAATGTTTCCTTATAATATTTCGCATGGTTGGCAACACTGCACATCGAATTCAAGTAAAATGAACCACTTTGACAGTTAATCAAGACAACAGCTGCGCTAAACGGACTACCTATTTATTGTGTCATGTTTCACATAAAACCAACATAACGTAAATCGACTTATTTTCTAAACGGAGATACAAAATCCTAGCTATTTAGAATAGTATTAAAATGATATAATGTTGACAATCAGCTGTTATTTGTTAATTACACAATAACTCTATTCCAGATTCTATTAGCCTAGCCATGTTTTTTCCTGTGCATACTGGAATACAAACATATATAATTGGTTTGTTCCCGTACTGCTAAAATCTACTAGATTTTACTATTTTCTTCGATATCATAAAGGAATATTCGTTATCGTAGTAAAAAGTAGTAGATTCTTGCACTATGGGAACAGACTAAATTTATAATTTATTTCAATATTCAAAATTAAAAAAAAATTAATAAAACATCATAAATTTTGGTCATTTATCTAAAGACTCACTGTGTGGGGTATAGTTAGACGGCATACCAAAAAAAAAAATGTATTAATAAATTATTTGTGTATTAATCGACTGTGATTTAAGTTCATATGACCGTAAAATGACGTTAATTTAGAACCCATATCAGTAGAACACCTGCAGATAAGTAGACAAACAATTATGATCAGATGTTTCTTGTTTTTATGCATTTTCATTCATAATATGAATTGATTGAATATAAATAGCCTCAACTTGTGGGAGGGCAATATCAGTATATTTGTGTTATACTTACTATGAAGTTACAAGTACCTTGTTATTGGGTTTAGTAATTTTGGGGGTTTGGTTTGCATGCGTCGTCTTCTTCTGTGTTTTTCCCCTTATGTTTTAAACTTATTCCTCTTTTCGAATAAGTTAAGGGGAACACACATACGCTTGGCATTGTTTGAAATGTTAGTTTATAAAGAATGTCAGAGTCAAACTTGATTTTAACATGCCAATCCTGAAGTCCTCTTATGTATTTCTCCTTTTAGGTTTACCGATCTGTTCAATGACAAATAAACTGCTATTACAAAGCCAAGTTAACATGCCAGGCTTGAATCCTCGCATGTGTTCCCCTCTTAAGATCCATTATACCGGCCAATCTCAAGGTACAACGGTGTACTTTGTCGTGATGTCTGAACGCAAGGAATACAATGAGAAAATTAAATCTGTCCATATGTTGGCTTTATGGGAAAAATCTCAGCCAGTGTGGTGAAACAGGGAACTTCGCTCAGGAAAGCTCTGAAAAGTGACCAGACTACAACACGGCGCATAAATCAAAACACGATATTGACTGGAACTCCTACCGAGCTAGTTTCAATAAATACAAGAGTGAGATCAAGCGTGCAAAGAAAAAGACTTGGACAAATTTCTGTGAGTCGATAGAAGGAGTCAATGACGGTGCTAGGTTTCGAAGATTACTATCCAAGGATCCGTAGTCCATCGGAAGTATCAAGAAACAGGATGGGCGTGGACCGACTCTGGTTCTGAGACTGTTTTTCTCCTAGCTGAGACTCATTTCCCAAGTTGCAAAGATATGGATACCGTCGACGGTGAACTTGATGACACTTGATTTGGATCTCACTGACAACGTGGCGGCGTGTTTGACTCTCTCGTATGTTCCGGATCTATGGAACGAGGTAAAGGTTACTTACATTCCCAAAGCGGGGAAATAAACCACTTTGCACCAAAGGACTGTAGACACATTAACTTATGATCCTTTCGCCTCAAGACTCTCGAAAGACCTAGGGGCAATGTGTCAAGATCCATTTGGCCGACTCTGTCTACCAAAAGGACGCACTCACTGTTGAACCTGAGCAAAGCTGAAATAGCAACAACAGGGCCTTTACTAGTAAATGGGATCTTGATGCAATTGATTACTGTAGACTCTGCGTTGACGAGGAGGAGACGGAGACAATTGAGCATCTTCTATGAGACTTTCCAGCCCTGGGTTACAGGCACCACAGACTAGTGGGTGCTCATTTTCCACCGAGTCTTAGCTTCTTCTCAAGAACTGAACCTGCTTTAATCTACAGCATAATTAGAAACCTAAAGTGGTTGGGAAAGCGCAACCTTGCAACCTTCCAAATTTACCGTCTTATATCTTGTAAGCTTCTCATCTCCATTTATTTCCCCAATCTTCTCTCCCCCTATAGATCTCTTCTTATCTCTCCTGGATGATTACAATGGACCTGACGGTCTCAGAGTGCTGCAGCCACATAAGTAACTGCACATCCCCAAACTAACCTAACCCTGGCTCCATGTGCCTTGTTTAAACATGGTACTTCGTTTGTATTCCAAGTGTTCCGCCCCTTGATCGGATATGGAATTGATGCCACAAAATCGTTTGGTTTGGAACCACCATACTTCTGGTTGCTCCAGTAATCAGGGTATCCATTACATCCAGCTGAGTGATCATAAAACCAGATTATAATTTGGACAATATTGTTGCACCCACATATTTATATGCCAGCACCAATTCAAAGGTTATCAATTTAGCTGGCGATTATCGGGTAAAGAGTTCTAAGGTTAACCTACTTTATGAGAATTTATTTGACATATATACAATGGAAATGACAATTGAAACCCACTGGGTAACGAAATTCGCTACAATGTAAACGTACTATAAATGCCGTTTTAAAATATTTATTATTAATTTAAACAAATCTTAAAATTTCCAGCCGCTTTCATATTTTATTTATAAAACTATATTGAATTTGCAACCCTATAGCGTTTTCTTTTGGTACTTTTAGGAGAAGCAAAACATTTTTTGGTGCAAAAACAAGGTATTTGAAACAATCTCAATTTAGCATAAGATTTCGAGCATATCGACATATTAAATGGATATAATTTTATATATAAAATTGAGATCGATCCAGCAATTAAATCAAAATAATGCTTATTATCACGGTATAATGGTGTTTCTACACGATATGTATTTTACATATGTGCTGTCACTTTTTTACATATGGAAATCGAACTCGTCATGTGAAACATACGGAAATTTCAATGTGTCAAAACGATATGCAATTACATATGTATTTTTTTCCGAATAGGACGCGCTCTATTTTCGTATGTGAAACATAAGGAAATCAGCTGTTTGAATGAAACACATTGTTGGAAGAAAATATTTCAATTGTAATTCAAAAAAAAAGGTGAAAAGGCAACAATTACAAATTATTATTTCGTTTGTAGGTGTTTAATAAAAAAATGATGTTGATTTAAGAAAAAATAAAAGTGTTTTTTTGTTTATAGGTTATGTCATATGTAAAATACATATGCCGATTTGAACATAAAAATAAATGTTTTGTGTACACTGCTAATTTTGACACACATAAGGAATTACATATGGATCAAAAAAGTGACAGCACATATGTAAAATACATATCGTGTAAAAACACCATAAGCTATAAAAAACCCAATAGCCAAAATTGATAGTATGTACTCATCTTTAATGTCACATTATCGATACCCCCTCATATCGATAAATTCTATGTACAATCTATTACAATTCTAACTGACAGCTTTGCAAGACGACTAATGACTTTGTCATTTGTGTGTTACTTCTAGCAAAGAGAAGAGGTCTATTTAAAAGTAAATTTTTTGTCGCAAGCTAAATTTTTTTTGTTTTAATCGTAAGTACAATTGAATAACTAATTTTTTGTGAATGTATATATAATAACAAAAAAATGCAATACGAAAAAGGTGTTTATGTGCTATTAGAATTTGTTAATTGGCATCTAAGTATTTTTTTTTGTGGAGCAAAAGCATTTTGTAAAATGGCTGCCCTCAAATTGGGCACGCACACACATGGTCAGAGTCGGTTGGATTATTTTTTTTTCGTGTGTGTTGAACACAGCGTCAATGACGTGTTTTGTTAAAAATAGATTTACAATTATTAAGAAACAAACAAAAAGAAAAAAGGTATTGCATTGAATGTTGGAAATAATCGGATTATAACGTTTGTGTAACAAAATGGAACATGTTTTTGTTCTTTTTTTTGGGTTATTTCTCACATAAAATATGTTTCTTTGCTTTATTCACATTTCTCTACATTTTCTTTGTATTTCGCTCGCTCGTTGTGCCTTTTTTTGTCGGCTGTTCGTTCTTTCTACTACCTTTGGATTGCAACCCTGTCAATATGGCGTTGTTGTGCATTCATTTCCTGTGAATAATATTCTGACGTATGTGTGTGTGAGCGAGAAACCCAGCGACCGACCAGCCGCAGCCACATGTCATTTTTTATACGTCTCTCATTTAGTTTTTGGATTTCTTCGTGAGCTCAAGTGGTTTTCGTGGGACTCATTTCTTTCTATATTTTTTTTTTACATTTAATTAGTTGATCAGTTTAATACAACTTTTTTTTTTTTAAAAAATTGTTGCCTTTAATAATTTATAAAAAAAAGAAAAGGAAACAGAGCTTTGTGAAAGTAACTTATTGTGATAAAAAATTAAAATTTCTAGATTTTAGTAAGTAAGAAGAAGACAAAGATAATTTTCGTGTATTACGGCTTTGCGTTTGTTGGAAATCAACAGTTGAGTTCGTGTCAATTTTTTTTAAATTACTTTATTTGATTTCGTCATATTATTTTTATAAGCAAGAGAAATAGAAAGTTGAAACAAAAGTGTGTGTGAAAAAAATATTAAAATATAGAAACGTATAACCGAAACAAGGTTAAATTAATTACATTACAACACCAATAAGAAAGAGGAACAACTAACGGCAACAAGTAGTAGAAGGAAAACTACTTTCCAGCTTTCTTTGATTGGCTAATAAGATTTATTTTCCCTGTTAGTTTTATATGTAAGTAGCAAACAACAACTAAGAACAAAACAAAAATCAAACGATTTTAATTAAAAATATTTAAAGTTTAATTTTTAAATATTTTTTTATTTGTTTTATTTTATTTAATTGAAAAAATGAACTTTTGATTTTCTTTCTTTGTGGATTAAATTTTGTAATTTCATTGACCTCATTTCATAAAGGATTTTTTTTTTTTCATTTCTACTCTACCCGGTGATCTCTTCTCTCTGCTTCTTGTACAAAAATTCTCTTCATTTTCTCTTAAAACGGGTTTCTCCTCTTGCCATCTCTTCAGTTCATTGTTGTTATTTTTTTCCTTTTCAAGGTGATTTTTCTGGTTGCTACTTTGTGTGTGGTGTGTGAGATTTCTTTTTTCGTTCGTTCGTTTTTACATATTTTAGGTGTGTGTGTGTGTGATTTGTGCGCGCGGCCATTTGTCAAATTGTGTGTTGTTTTTGCATTTGATAAAGAAAGAAACTCAATTTGAGGTTAGAATTTATAAAATTGCCGCACAAAATACGTGGACGTTAAATGACAGAGCTAATTTATTAATTTTTATGAAAAAACGTAAAAGAAAAAGAGGTGGTTTGAAGATAAAAAATGTTGGCGGCTGATCACACCATATATATCCCCTTAAAATAAACTAAGAACACATTAAAATTAATATGGGAAAGAGTGGAGTGGAACTCGTGCAAAGTCAATTAAAATGGATTCCTTCCCTTCCATATTGTTCCATATGAACATCTGATTAGGAATTTCAATCCTTGTCGATTTATACCTGTCCGTGCAAACATATTTGGGAGTTTTCCAAGTATTTTTATAATGAGAGTACATAGGTCGGTCGTAGCTTATATCGAATTAAAAAAAATAGGTTTAAAATTTTTCTTTAATATTGAATTGGAGTCAATTAGGAATATTTACTATACCGTCCCCTTGAAGCCCATACTCCAAGAAAGATGAGCCTCCAATGTTCAAAACGCACCGTGTCATCAAAGACAGTCCATGGGTGAAAGTTTTAAAACCAAGCTGAACGATAATTTGGAATTTTTAGGCATATTTTTCAATCAAATTGTCTTCTTATTGAATAGAAAGTCTTGTTATCACCAGTATCATCAACATTGATGGTTCCATATTTTGAAACATTTTAGATGTTTTCAACCGAATTGGGTATAAATCGTTATTTTATGTTCCCATTGGGTCCCAAACCTTGTCAATATAGGTCCAAGGTTTGTTCTATATCCTGGATTAACGTTGGGTGTCTCATCTTCCTACCAAAAATATCAATACCGGTCCACATTTTGCTATAGCCTTTATAAAACGGAACTCTAAAAATTATCGTTCCAATATCAGGTATATCCCATATCGAATGGTACCCTAAAATTCTCTTATGTTGAGAAAGTGTAATGTGCCAATTTTATTTAAATAAACTGTAGTTTTCGCGATATTTTGTTTTCAAATCTTTAAAGTTACAAATTCGTCATTCAAATATTGATCTTAGCTTCATTATTTCCATTAGCATTCTACTTGTCTCCTTTTCCTGAAAGAAATTATAACCACAGGATTGTGAGTAATATGGGAATGCTATACAAATTGTTTTGCAGAGTATTTTGGGTGCTCAAGGTATCTAAACATAGTATCATTTGGCCAGCAAATACTCTAACAATTGAAATCTTCATATACATATTTAATAAATATCCATATATTTTCCAGACCAATAACTAATCACTTTTCACTTTTCTTTTTTTTTTAGCAATTTATTGTATGAGTCAAAAAACTGAAAGACCAGTACTATCAGGTCAGCGCATCAAGACCAGAAAAAGAGATGAAAGAGAAAAATATGACCCAACGGGATTCCGTGATGCGGTCATTGCTGGTCTCGAAAAAACTGAAGGTGACTTAGATGAAATCTCCAAATTTTTACATAGCGCTGGTAATAAACTTGATTATCGCCGTTACGGCGAAGTACTATTTGACATATTAATAGCTGGTGGTCTCTTAGGTATGTAAAAATTAGATTTCCCCTGCTCTTTTAAAATTGTTGTATACTAAAAGATTTGTGTTTTATTTCATTTTATATTCCAGTTCCTGGTGGGTCAATCTCTCAGGATGGCGAGAAGCCACGCACAAACTATTGTATATTTGAAGCCCCAGAGGACATGGAATCGATGCGGAACCATGAGCAGGTAAATATTATTTTAATATATGTATGATAAAATATATTCTGTGTAGGTTTATGTATGTTCTATAGCGTACTAGGATTCAAAGCAATATGCTACGTTAATGTTGAATGAAAGGACATTATTTGTATGAAGTATTTATAAGTTAACAACTAGGACTATATTTGCAAAAATATATATCATTTCAATTCGAAAAATACCATCATTTGCAAAATTCTTAAATACAAAAAAATCAAAGTTCCTTCACTTTTCCTCCAAAAATAGTCTTGGGAGTTAAAAAATGTCTACTTCAAACGTAAGGTTTATATAAATAATTTAAATGTTTTTTTTTAATTAATCCCTGGTTCTTTATTAATTCAGATATTGCTGTTTACCTTGTGTTTCTGTTATCTTTAGAAGAAAACAAAAATTTAACATTTCCCAGTTCGTTGTTGTAATGTCATCATGTCCCAAGGAGAACTATATAACGGAAATACGTCGTTTATATTGTCATGTCATAAATTGTAGACAGACGCCGCCAGATTATGGCAACATCAGCAGACACGCGTTTGTTTGATGTACAGCGATTTTTATTAAAAAAACAGAGTTTTCAACTACACAATAACTTATCTAAATCTAAATTATCTTTGAATGCTACCACCTCCAATCATGTATTTATTTTTAATTATGCATGCACCATATTAGAACTAGGTTGACTGATACATCAAAGTTTTCTTAGTGTCGAATGAGTGCTAAATAAATATCATATTGTTACTTGTCTGACCATTTCTCTTTTCTAAAAAATATAAAAAAGATTTTATGAAATGGCCAGATTTCTTTATATGAAACAAAAAAAATTTAAATAATATTATATTTAAATTATTTCTTGTTATATTCGTATGCACCATATTAGAACTGGATATGTCTGATATATTTTATTCTCGATAGCTTATCTAGTGTCGAATGTGTGCTAAAGAAATATCATATATTTACTTGTCTGGTTATATTCTTCACAATCTTTAAAAAATTAAAGATTCAACATATGAAATTTCTAGATTTCTTTATATGATACAAATAGACCGATCCAAGACCTCCCACTTACCTTCTGTTTAGTTCGTTAGTCATATGTCTACAAATGTTGTATATATACACATATGTTTATTTTTTATATATATGTATTTCATATTTAACACTTCAAGAATATGTGCGTGTTTTTTTTTTTTTTCATGTGTATTATAATCTAATCTAATACGTGTTGTTATTTTTTTCTTTATTGTTCTTTTAGGTGTTCGTCAATCTCATGCGTCGATATAAGTACTTGGAGAAGATGTTCGAAGAGGAAATGAAGAAAGTATTAGTCTTCATTAAAGGTTTTACTCCAATTGAACGCATTAAACTTGCGCGTATGACAGCGCTATGGTTATGTATGTATTTATTCTTTTTTACTTGTTTTAGAAATTAAGCAGATATTTATCTTCTAAGATTCTCATTTAATTTTCCCATTCCATTCCATATTTTTAATATAATTTTTTCTTATTTTAAATTAAAAAAATATTTTTATTTAAAAATATAATTTTTATTTAAAAATATAATTTTTAATTTAAAAATATAATATAGAAATATTTTTTTAATTGAACATTCATTTAATTAAAAATATTTTTAATTCTTTAAAAATATTTTTACAATGCCCTACTAAAAATATGGATTTTTTTTATAAATTGTGTGTAAATTTTTAAAAATGTTTTTAAAATGAATATTTTTTGATTTTATTATTTCTATTTGAATTTTAAAATCACAGTTGTTTAAATATTCAAACACAAGCACCTTTTCATTTGGAAATTTGTGTCATCTTCCTTCCTACCTGCCACTTTAACCAAATTTGGTTTTTATCATTGACAAATATTGATAAAAATTAATATATGAGTGGCATAGTAAATTTGTTTGGCGTACTGACTTTTGTTTTTTATTGCCAGAAACAAAAGACACAAACCCAATAACATTTTCTATAACAAAAATGTAGATTTATTTTCCTATTTCTCTAAATTTTAACATTTCCAAAAACAATTTTTTTGATTACATATTTCATTTTCTCAATTATGTATATTTTATGTATTGCATATTATGTATTTTTATTTTTTGATTAAATTTTTTCTTTATTAATTTTCGTATGTTTCTCTCTCTCTATATTTTTTATAGCCAATGGTTCTGTGCCACCAACCGTGTTATTGGTGCTCAACAATGAGCATTTAATTAAGGATGGCATTGCTCTCGATTTTTTGGTTGAGCTATTTGTCACCTTTAAACAGGAAAAGGGAATGCCATCACTTATACAAACACTGAAAAAGGGTGGACTAGAAAGCAAGTAAGTAATTTATAAAAATAAAATACATAAGAATATATTTTTGTTATTAATATAATGTAAAGAAAATGCATTGAGAATAAAATTATAATTGAAGAGCATTTTATACTCTAAAAAAAAATAAAATAGATTTTAAAACCTAAATTTTCGTTTTATATAAATAATAATAAAGAAATTTTGTTTTTTTTTAATATTTTTGTGGGAGTGTTTCAGGAAGAAATTTGTTCATTATTTTCATATTCCCAGAATAATTTCTTTAATTAACACTCCCAGATTAAAATAGGATTTGAATTTAATTTGCAAATGTTTAATAACGAACTTTTGTGTTCTAATTTGAATTCTAACAAAACACACAATAATATTTAAACATATTTTCCGAAAATGTAATGTGTACAAGTATGCAATCTAAATCCATTTTTCTCTTAATTTTTTCCTCTTTTCACAGACTTATGGACTTTTTCCCACCAAACAAACGTACTGAAGAGAATTTCAAACAGGTATTCCTTGAAAAAGAACTAACCGAAATTATTAAATTGCATAAAGCCCAGGCCAGTCAAGAGGCCAAGCGTGAATTGCAACAGACCCTAATCGATGACATTCACGATGAGAAACCCCACTCGGAAATCACTGCCAATATCAAAGAATTGGCACAAAAATCCAACATTCCCGACAATGAAATTATCATTATTATATGGTCAACAATAATGTCATTGGGCGAATGGAATAAAAAGGAAGAGCTTGTCACCGAACAAGCGGTACGCCATTTGAAAGGTTATTGCCCATTGTTCCAGGCATTTGCCACCAATGATCGTGCCGAAACGGCACTGATCTTAAAGGTTCAAGAATTCTGCTATGAAAATATGAACTTTATGAAGGCCTTCCAGAAAATTATATTGTTGTTTTACAAAAGTGAGTACGATAATTTATTTCATGTAGATATTCCTACTATAAGTGTGGATATTTTTAATTTTTTTTAAAGAATCCTGTTATAGATTTGAATTTATTGAAAATAGCTTTAGTAGGTCCTACTGCAAACATGGATATTTTTTTAAATATTTTAGAAGGTCCTTTTAAGCATTGATTTTTTTAAAAATAATTTCGGAAGGTAATGATCCTGTTACAAGGGTAGATTTTTTAAATATTTTTAGAAGGTTCTACTGTAAACATGGTGTTTTCTTTTTAAATATTTATGAAAGTTCCTACAATAAGCGGAAATTAAAAAAAAAGCTTTCATTAGTTCCCACTGATTTTTTTTAATATTTTTAGAAGTTTTTTTTAACAGGGTTTTTTTTTTTAAATATTTTCAGAAGTTCCTACTATAAGAAAAATTTGTTTTTAAATTTTCTACGATTTGCTTGGAATTAAAAAAATAGGAATTGGATTTCTAGGAAATTTATAAGATTTTTTTTTTTTGTTATTAATTTTGTTATTATTTTTTATTTTTTAATTTTTTATTATTTTTTTTTTTTTTTATTAATTTTTTATATTTGTTGGTGGGAGTGTTTCAGGAAGAAATTTGTTCATTATTTTCAAATCAGAATAATTTCTTTAATTAATGCTCTCAGATTAAATTATAGGATTTGAATTTAATTTGCAAATGTTTAATAACGAACTTTTGTGTTCTAATTTGAATTCTAATAAGCGTGATATATATATTTTTAAATACTTTTAAAGGGTCCCCTACCAGTCCTAGTAGTTTTATATAAAAAAATAATGAAGTTATTTAATTTTTTTTATAAATTAGATTTTAAAAATAATAGATTTTTTTTTAATGTTGAAAATTAGATTTTGAAAAAAAGGTGGATTGGAATTTTTTATATACGTAGTTGGATTTTTTAAAATATTTTAGTTAGATTTTTGAATATATTTCTCAAAGATGAAATTTAAAAACATTTTAAGAAGATAAATTAAAAAAAAAATAAAAGTTAAATTTAAAAAATTAAAAAAAAAATAAGAATTAAAAAATTAAATTAAAATAAATTAAATGTTAAATTTAAAAAAAAAAAAAAAAATTAAAAAAAGTAAAAAAAAAATTAAAAAAAGTAAAAAAAAAAAAGGTAAAAAAAAGTAAAAAAATTTAAAAAAGTTAAAAAAAATTAAAAAAAATTTAAAAAAGTTAAAAAAATAAAAATGTAAAAAAAATTAAAAATAAATTTAAAAAAGTTAAAAATAAATTAAAAATTTTGAAAAATAAATTTAAAAAACAAAGTTAAATGTTAGATCAAAATTCTTTTTTTAATTTAACTTTTAAATTTTTTTATTTTCTTTTTTTATTTTTTTTTTTTTTAACTTTTTATTTTTTTAACTTTTTTGAATTTAAATTAAAAGTTAAATTTAAAAAATTAATTATTAATTAATTTTTTTCAACTTTTTAATTATTTTTTAACTTTTTTAAATTTAAGTTAAAAGCTAAATTTAATAAAAAATTAAAAAAATAATACATTTATTAATTTTTTTAAAATTTTTAATTTATTTTTAACATTTTTAATTTTTTATTAACTTTTTTAAATTTAACTTTTAATTTTTTTTTTTACATTTTTAAATTAAACTTATATTTTTTTTTAAATATTTTTTTAAACATTTTTAGGTGGTTCATAATTTGTTTTTACTATTTTAGAATTTGAGAAATGGGGGAATAGTCAGTTTCTTAAAAATTTTATAGATTGGATTTTTTTAAGATATTTTCAACGAATTTTTAAAAATTGTTTTAGGTGAATTTTCAAGAATATATTATTAGGTTTATTTTTTTTAATATTTTTAAATGGATTTCTTAAAAACATCCAAAATATATTGTTTACATATTTTTTATTTTATTTCATATTTTTATTTTTTTTTTATTAATTTTAAAATATATTTTATTATTATTCAATTCATTTTTTGTGGCACTTATCTAGAGATTGTCTTTTTGAATTTCATGATGCCATCAATTGACAATGTACCAAATGTGCCAGATAAATCATTGTTGAGAGAATCATTGTTTGGGTGTCCTAGTTAACGTTCACAGTCATAATGTTTTCTAGGCCATTTGATAATGGTACACTCAAAATGTTCTCTTTTTCTATCTTTCTTACTTTTACACATTGTTTCTTTTACTTATTTGCAATTTATTAACCAATTTCTTGTTCGTTTTCCTTTTACAGCTGAAATCCTATCGGAAGAGGTTATTCTGCGTTGGTACAAAGAAAACAATTCTGTCAAGGGTAAAATGCATTTCCTTGAACAAATGAAGAAATTTGTTGAATGGCTGCAAAATGCTGAAGAAGGTTAGTAGCGCAATGTATTTTTCGAATTATTTTATTAATTGAAAATTTTTATAATGAATAAGAGAGAAGTGATATTTACAATTGTCACTAATTTAAATTTTGATGGAACACAAACTATTCCAGAACAGGAGATAATTAATATTTGGGTTTTGGGTTCTTCATACAATGGCACCAATAGCAATTCAATAATACAAATATTTTATTCATGTCATATTTCCTATATGGGCATACTTTTGAGAAGGTCATTGACTTATTATCCCCATATCAATAGACTGTGTACCTGTATGCTAGAACAATACTCAACCCAGCATTAATTGGGTGTCCTAGCTACCGATTTTTTATCTATGGTTTTACTAGGCCAATAATTAGTGTTACAAAAGCTCTTGAAATGACTTCATAATTGGTAAAAAATAAAGGGAAAATATTTTTATTTGTAACTAAATTTTTAATTTCTGATTTATAGACTATCGAATAAGTTCCCTCAGATATGCATACTTTTGAGAAGGTCATTGACTTATTATCCCCTTATCAATAGACTGTGTACCTGTATGCCAGAGCAATACCAAACCCAGCATTAATTGGGTGTCCTAGCTACCGATTTTATATCTATGGTTTTACTAGGCCAATAATTAGTGTTACAAAAACTCTTGAAATGACTTCATAATTGGTAAAAAAAATATTTTTATTTTAAACTACATTTTTATTTCTGATTATTATTTAGTAATATTAGTGTTAAAAATACTCTTGGAAGAAATATAGACTATCGAATAAGTTCCATAAGATATGCATACTTTTGAGAAGGTCATTGATTTATTATCCCCTTATCAATAGACTGTGTACCTGTATGCCAGAGCAATACCAAACCCAGCATTAATTGGGTGTCCTAGCTACCGATTTTTTATCTATGGTTTACTAGGCCAATAATTAGTGTTACAAATACTCTTTGAAGAAATATAGAATATCGAATAAGTTCCCTCAGATATGCATACTTTTGAGAAGGTCATTGACTTATTTATCCTCTTATCAATCGACTGTGTACCTGTATGCAAGAGTAATACCAAACCCAGCATTAATTGGGTGTCCTAGCTACCGATTTTTTATCTATGGTTTTACTAGGCCAATAATTAGTGTTACAAACACATTGAAGATTTTCAGCAATTGGTACAATATATGTGGAATTCCTTTTTTTCAAAAAATTTAAATCCATTTTGTGTTATACGTTAAATTTAATTTTGTTCATTATTTTTCAATATTTTTTTTGTTTTGAGTGTGATCTATATCTTTATTTCGCATACATTTGAGAAGGTCACTGATATATTTATTATCAGTAGACTGTGTACCTGTATGCAAGAGCAATACTATACCCAGCATTAATTGGGTGTCCTAGCTACCTATTTTATGGTTTTACTAGGCCAATAATTAGTGTTACACTATAATCGATATATTGATAAGTTTTTTTTCTGCAAATATAAAAAATAAATATTAAGAAGAATTAATAAATTAATAAAGGGACACGATAGCTCAAAAACCTATTAATCTAATCGGTTCCAAATTGTAACACATTATTCTGTAAGAACATAGATAGCTATCGTATGAACCTAGGATAAATCCAATCGCTATGTGACCTATTTACTGCATGGTTTTTGGTCGGAAATAGTTGATTAAAAAAAAAGAGAAGTCAATAATCCTAGTTCATACCATAACCAGATATGTAGTCTTTCGCTAATTGTATTGGAATTTTGAGATTCAGATGTTCCCAATGATAGGCAATCATATTTTTTGCCCAAAATACCCTAAAATCTCTGTCTTATCAAGTTGGTAGTAATGAAAGAAAGATTCTCCATAAAATTTCACTAGGGGACATAAAAAAAAAAATTGTAATATCAACCCACAAAATATTGATTGACAAAATTGTATTGGTATTTTTGGGGTTATTTTCAACTTATAGCCCAAAATCTAACCCATAAGACTCAATTTTATGAAATTGGTTGGTCATAATGAAAAAATTATATGACAGTAAATTTCATTATAAATCACCTCACCGAACAACACAGTGGTGGTGGTGGACCCTCAATTTTTTTTTTTCGATTTTTGGGTATTTTCGATATTTTGCCCAAAAGACCAACAAATCTTTACCCTATCAAGTTGGTCGTAATGAAAGAAAGACTCTACATAAAATTTCATGAGGGGTTCAGAAAAAAGGATGCCTCTATTATTAATATACTCATGTGGTACAGGTATAGAATGATGTATGTATATACAAGTATAGAATGATGTATGTTGAGTTTCGTGAAAATCAGTTCAGATTTAGATATAGCTCCCATTTATATATTTTATTCTGATTTAATGTAAATGGTGCACCAAAGTCACTTTCTTTTGCACGTCTTTCGATTCGCACGAAATTTGGCACAGCATATTGAATTAATTCTAGAATGATGTATGTAAAGTTTCGTGAAAATCGGTGCAGATTTAGATATAGCTACCGCATATATATTTTTTTCATTCGTTGTTGTTGTTTATCCCCTAATGTTTTATATAATGATTAACACGAATTTTTTTCACAAAGTATCAAATTTAAACTAGAATGACGGTGCCCAGCCCGACTTTACTACTTTCCTTAGGGGTTTGGGTTATTTTCAATTCATATCCCAAAACAAAACCAACAAACTGCACTTTTTTTTTGGTGTTTGGTGTCAATGGAAAAATATTCTACATAACATTGCAGACAACAGGACTATTCATGTATTTATAACATACCCGAGTGTCTCCTTAATTAATATGTTATTTATATTTTTATATTATTTTTATATCATTAATAATAATACATATAGTATTTAATATATACTTATCTTTATTTATAATTTTTATTTTTTTATTTGTATTATAATATTATTTCTGTTATTATTCAATTCTTATTTATTATTATTCTTATTTATTTTATTATTAGATTATTATTATTATTGTTATTTATTATTATTTTTAATTGTAATTAAATTGTAAGTTTTTATATAAACTTGTCAATAAAAATATGCCAATGGAGTTTAAGACAAACAAACTACTAAATTTTTCATCTACTCGAAATATGTAGATATTTTTTTATAATGGTTACCAATTCAACTACGGCAAACTATATTCAAGAAACATAATTTTTATTTAATAAATTTTGCTTTCTAGCCCAAGTTTGCCAGATTAAAATATAGATTTTTGCTTGCCTAACTATCTGCTAAATTTTTCATAGATTTTATAGGCCAATGAGATCTATAATAAACGAAAAATTAAAAAAAATATATATTAAATTATTATGAATTTTAAGGTTTTCATTTCGAGTTGCAACTTTATTTTTGTTTTTATTTCAAGTTTGCAAAAATAAAATTTTTATTCTCCCCTTTTTTTTCCTTACAGAATCTGAATCTGAAGACGAACAAAAGAATGGCGAATAACAAGTTAATATTTTATCATTGTCCCCCAACAATTGAAGAAAGAAAACATAAAAATATTAGTAAAATAATTAAGGGGAGAGATAAGATGTATAGTGGCCGCCGGGGTGGAAGTTGATGAGAAGATGACGACGATATTATTAAAGACTATGAAAATAGAGGAGTTTGTCCCCCCAAACTCCTCTCAAACATCATTCCCCCCTCTCTCTCTCTACTATACAATATAAACAATTTTTGTTATCACCAACCAAACAACCACCACCATCAGAAGTCAACAACAAAATCTTCTTAAAGCAAATAGGAAATGGAACAACAACAAATCCATTCAGCAGAACCAATGTTTAATATCCATTCACATTATATAGTAATCTCCTGAAAATGTTTAAGCAAAAAGGAGGTCATGTAAACAACAATAACAACAAAAGTCACAAGTTCTTTAGGAGACATCATCAGCCAACCAACCAGCAGCCAGCCAACACCTTCATCATTATTTGTAAAAAAATGAAAACACACACATACTACTATACAACAACCAACCGTTATGAAATATCCAAAATTTTGACGGCAGTAAAAAAAAAATGCAAAATTTGACAAAATAACAACAACTACAACATATTTTATTGCAATATACAACAAACAAATAACATTTATAGAAAAAAAAGAAAATAATAAAATAAATTAAAAAAATAATAAAATTAAACAAAGAAATGGTATTATGCATTATACACATACATATATAAGGAAGAAAATAAAGATTTAATTATTATAATACTATATATACATAACAATAACAACAACACTGGATTAACACATCAGAGCGCCGCGCGCGTTCTCCTTTCTCTAAATACCATCCCACGAGAACCACTCCAAAAATGCCACTATAATGATAATAATGCAACAACAACAACAAAAGGACATTGATGACAGGTTAACTTAATCTAACTTCACATAATGCATATTATTGAAATTTTGCTGAAAACATTTTAAGAATTTATTGTGTGTAAAATTCTTTTTTTAATTTACCTACCATTTCCCCCAATTTGATTGACCCCTAATTATGTTGTGGCGTATTTAAAACAAAAATAATCATTATATATTTTTTTCTATATATTTTTTTATTTATTTTAATTTAAAAAAGAAACAAAAATTATTGAACAAATAAAACAACACTACTCAACCAACAATTTATTTATGTTTTTTCTTTTCGTTTTGATAATTTCATTTTTATTTTCTATTTTTTTGTTCCAACCACAAAAGTGTATAAAAAAATAATTTATATCGAACAAAACAAATAGACTTGAATTTTAATCAACCAACCAATAAATGAGTTTGCGTTTTATTTCTTCGATTACCGAAGGAACAGAGTTTTAAATTTATCTACCGCGAGACAGGGAGGGGCTCCCTCATTTGGCCTTGAAGGTCGGTCTTAGTGACAGACCTATTGTCCTTTATAGAGACTCGGTGGTCTCCAATACAGACCAATTGGCCTTTATAGAGACCCGGTGGTCTCCAATATAGACCAATTGGTCTTTATAGAGACCCGGTGGTCTCCAATACAGACCAATTGGTCTTTATAGAGACCCTGTGGTCTCCAATACAGACCAATTGGTCTTTATAGAGACTCGGTGGTCTCCAATACAGACCAATTGGTCTTTATAGGGGCCCGGTGGTCTCCAATACAGACCAATTGGTCTTTATAGAGACCCGGTGGTCTCAATACAGACCAATTGGTCAATTGACACCTGGTGGTCTCCAGTTTTCCCATTCACATTGGAATGATATCAAGAACGTGCATGTATTGCGCATAAACATATGCTGTAAAAAAACTTAGAAATGGGAAACCCGTAAGCATCCACATCTATGGATTCTTGCTTCGAATGCATGAGCTTAGCACCTCTCTATTACGACTTGGGTTTCTATATCCAGGAGGATGTTGGAGTAGGACATAGTTGTATCATCTGCAATCATTTATGGTTTATGGAAACCCCCTGTTGTTGCACAAATTTCATCGCGTTCGTTATCGACAATCTGGGGCCAAATCAACGAATTTGTCATCGAGTTTTGTTTCGTATAGAGAAACATGCTCAAATATATATTGAGCATCTTTCAGCTTTGCATTCACTTTGTTGGAGGTTTTTTTTGAAGCGTCTGATTCGTGTCCCTAAATGCAAGTAATATATTTTCTTGAATGTATTTTGCCAAAATAAATAATTCGTATATTTTCACCAACTTCTTCTTCCTGTTCATTTACCTTTTTCCGCGCAAAAATCCCTAAGTGTGTAGTTTTCGATAGCATAATACCTATGTACGTGTACAACTTCGAGTAGAAACCATTCGATAACGACTGCGGTGATCCGCGTAAACTACATTACGATACCGCAGTACTCTATTTCGACTGCGGTGATTTGGCCCCCTGTTGAGGTCCAATGGAATAACGTCGGATTTGCCACGGAGGTTGTCACTCTCTGATAGTCTTGGGTAATCAATTCAGTGATCGAACGAACTAGATCATTTTTAAAAGTTAACTAGATCGTTCAGTTGTTTATATAGTTCAAATGGTTACTCTGGTTACTTTCCTATCTATTTTCTCCTCTTTTTAATGGGTGGTGGTCGATGGCATAACTCCGTTATATTCGACTGCACACTTGTTTGCGCTGCTATTTCTATTTTCCGTCGTTTCCAGGTGCACGGTTGTATATGGGGGTGCTTTACTTTTAAATGTCGCTTCATATTTTTTTTACTGATTCTCCAGCTATACTTAAAACACTACTGCAGCATTTGATCTTTTAAGCCCGCATTCCATGAAATAGGACAACAATATATTACACGTAACTTCATTCAATTTAACAGATTTTTTATAATAACTTTTTCGCCGTTCAGTTGGTCAAATAATTGACAGTTGTAGGAAATCAAAGTCGGTCATTTGGATGTATGGATGTGTGTTAATGAGCATGAAAAAAGGCATTTTATTTTGTGTGTTGTTATTTAATTTAAACTTGTCAAAGTAATCAAAAACTGTCCATAATAGTACTGAAAACTAAATTATATATTAAATAAACCATTTATCAAGTATTACTAATTGTCTTTGTTCGATAAAATTAAATTGTCATAATCGCAATTTTTAATTCTCTCACAAATAATTTATAAAATTGCAATGGGCAACACTGAACTAGAGTACTATTTAAAGACCCAAAATCTATAGGTAGTATTAAGCGAAGTGACTGGAAGTGGACAAACTCTGGTAGTGAGACTTTTGGTCTTCTATCATCAACCCACTTCCCTGGTTGTAAGGACTATAATGATGGGCATCGGAGCGAGCGAGGAGGAGAAGCTGATAGAAAACTCTATAAGCTACTCAAAACTGGTATGGTTTTCAACCCTACAAATCTCCAGGCCCTGATGGTATAATACCGGTCATGCTTCAACACGCAGATGAACAAGTATTAGTCTCTCTGCAAGACATTTTTAGGGCTTGTCTACTTCTATCGTACATACCTAGTCTATGGAAAGAGGTAACAGTGACCTTTATCCCGAAAGTCAGGAAGCCGAGTCATACGCTAACAAAGGACTATAGACCGATTAGCTCTCTTCCGTTTTACTCAAAACTTTAGAAAGGTTACTAGACTGCGAAATTAGAAGTACTATTGATCAAAACAAAATTAGCAACTCCCAGCATGCCAACATCAATAGCAAATCAGTGGATACATGAGGTTGGACTTATTATAAGAATATGGAGTCCTCCGGCTACACCTTGGCAGCGTACCTCGATATTGAGGGAGCTTTCAACGAGAGCAGAATGGATGGTCTCTACATTCTGCTCTCGTAAGCTCCGGTATACCCACACTTCTAACGGACTGGATTGATAGAATGCTGGAAAGCAGAATTTTCAACTCATATTTAGGAGAGAGTTCCGTGAGGAAATCTGTCAACAGAGGCACACCACAGGGCTGAGTATTATCTCCTCTTCTATGGCTTCTGGTGATAAATGAGATATTGCGGAAATTCGACTATCTTAAAATAAAGGTTGTAGCCTATGCCGATGATGTAGTCTTGCTAGTTGTTGGAAATTTTCTGATGACGATTTCAGATATTATGGAGGGCGCCCTTTCAACTCTGTTCAACTGGACACAAGCTAAGGGTCTTGGTGTAAACCCTACTAAGACAGAATTGGTGCTCTTCACTAAGTAATGTAAGATTCCTAGTTTCCGCTTGCCATCTTTGGGAGGAGTGGCCTTATCCCTTTCTGAAGAAGCAAAATACCTTGGTACAATCATTGACCACAAATTATCGTGGAATAAGAATGTTGATGAACGATCTAAGAAAGGACTAATAGGACTCTACTACTGCAAGAACTCCATAAGAAAGTGCTGGGGACTAAGACCAGAGATCATGCACTGGTTGTATGTGACGGTCGTTCTCCGAACGGCTTCGATCCTGACTACCGGAGCGCAGGCAGCCTTGAATGCGGTCTTGAATCTCCAACCACTGGACACTCTGATTAAATTCCAGGCTCCGAGAAACGGATACCTAGAAGTCGCTAAACTATGGTCACTCCAAATACTCAACACTCAATACTCCCATTAGTGACTATGTTCCCTTTCATAGAGACTTTAATGACATCAGAGTAGATTTTCCTAGTAGGGAATCCAGGACTAGTGGCTTCTTGCCTCTGGTCTGCCATTTTTCACACACGGGTCAAAGATGCAGGAAGGCACTGGTGCTGCCGTTTACTGTAGGGAATTAAAAATATATCACTCATATAAATATACCAATCTTTGTAGCGCTTTTCAAGCAGAAATCCTTACAATCACCAAAGCGGCCGAAAAAATCACAACACTTACTACGGGACCGGTGACTATATATGTCGATAGTTAGGCGGCCCTCAAAGCTTTAAAGTTGTGCACTATAAGCTCAAAAGCATTTCATGATTGTCTGCTCTGTATGATGTACGACTGTTAGTTAGTTTATGTTGGGAACATAGTAACATAGAAGGGAACGAGATAGCCGACGAGCTTGCTCGAGGGGGTTCACAGTCGTCCAATCTTCCGATTGAGAGATCCTTGCAACCATTCATTGGAAAAATCCGTTTGTTATAAAGTGGGGTAGTCGGCAACAGATATTCGAGAGATCCTGGTTGCAGAATCTCAAAAGCTATCTGGCCTGAATTCTCTCGCCGAAAAACTTCTTCGCTGTTGCCACATAATAAGAGAGATCGACACATTCCACCTATTCGTTAAGAGGTGTTTAAAGCCATGTCTACGATATAACTGGCGCAAGATCCGCAGTTAAAGTCGGAAAGGACCTCTCGGAGCCCTTTAATACCGAACGAGGATACAGACAAGGTGACAGCTTGTCGCGTGAACTTTTTAACATGCTGCTGGAAAAAGTCATACGAGAGGCAAAGATGAACAGAAATGACACTCTGTACACCAAACAGCACATGTTACTCGCCTACGCCGATGACATCGACATAATGAGTTGAATGGGTCGCCATAAGCTCTTGGAGTGTTTGAGGGACAAATTCTCCGAAATATTTATGGGCCGATCTGCGTTGACAGTGAATATCGCCGTCGAATGAACCATGAGTTGTACCAGCTATTCTCGGACATTGAGATTGCTAGACGTATTGAGCTGCAGCGACTACGTTGGCTAGGTCATGTTGTGAGAATGGATGAAGATGCCCCAGCCCAAAAGGCATATAAAAGCAAACCAGTTGATGGTTCACGCAGAAGGGGAAGGCCACGAATAAGATGGAAAGATCAAGTGGAAGACAACATTGTCGAATATGATCTTTCAAATTGGAAAAACTGCGCAAAAGACCGACGCGCCAGGAAATCTTTTTTAAGCTCGGCTTATGGAACGAAAGTTCTGTCACAGGCCAGCTAAGTAAGAGAGAGAGAGAGAGATCAAAATCATTGTGGGGATCATAAAAGGTCACTGCAAGATTAGATAGTAGATAGATCAATGATAGCCCTTGAAAAAATATTAAAAAAAGTGAAAAATAATTTTAGATCTTCTTGAAGAAAATATCTGTTGAAAAAATCAAAAAAAAAAAAAAAGGTTGGCATCTTCTGTAATCGTTCTTCTGCGAGGTCAAAAATCAAAAATATTTATAATTTAATAATAAATTTATTTAATCTTAAAAAAAGAATTATTTTATTAACACACAAAAAGTGATCAATAAAAAATAATTGGTTTACCACAAAAAAATTAATAAATAAATAAAAAAATATTGAGTGTCGCGTCTTATTGTTTCTCAAACAAATAATGATAGACCACGAATATACTGCTTCTTTACAACCAAATCTGAAAACAACAGTAATGGAGGTAGTAGTAGTTAAAAGATTTGCACACCAACAACACATAAGGTGAACAAAAGTCCTAGGTGATGGGTGTTGTGGAAAAATACCGATTTGCAACATCATCAATAATGCCTGCGCCAGGATAGAGTATAAGAAAAAAAGAAATGAAACTAAAAATTAATATTTGCAGATTGCGTTTTTTTGTAATTTGAAGCTCTTTGCAGATTCTTGCATGAAATCAAAGCCAGTTGGAAAATTTTGTTTTTTTAGTAGATTTTTTTTGTATTTATTATTGTTATTTTTATTTTATTCATAATTGTTCTGGTTTCATATATGTATAACGCCAAAAGCACAAACAATTATTTGTATTTATTTATTTTTTACTTTTTTCCTTTAGGTAAAGTTTTTTGTTGTTGGTTTTTAATACTTAAAACAAGAGAAGAAAAAATTAAAATAAACAAAAAAGAGCAATAACATAACACATTCACATAATTATTATTATTAAGTAAACAACAATTCAGGGTGGTGGAGGAAAATAATAATACAACTCAAATACACAAAAAAACAGCAAACAGCAGATTTTGGATTTTTATTTATTAAAGCAAATATATAAAGAAAAACAATATTAAAAAAAATTAAAACAATAAAGAAAGAAAACAAATACAAGTAAAGGTGGGTGGGTAAAAACGAAAAAAGAAGAAGACAAAGTTATAGAAAAAAATAAAAAAATAATAAAAAGAATGTTATTGAAAAGCTGTGGTGAAAAAGCGTTGTTTTTTTTTGTTGAGGAAATTGTTTGCCCCTGCCTCTTTAAACATTGTAATAATAATTTCCAAGCGGTTTTTTTGAATTTTTATTTTCTCTATAATATGATATTTATTTAAAACATTTAGATAATTAAGTAATTTGTTTTGGTTTTGGGCTTTCCAAAGAAAAAATATAGAAGTGATCAATAACCCGCACACTTAAAGATACTTTAGTGAGAAAAACAACAACGACTAAGATAACGACAAAAAGAGATTAAAAGGGGGAGTTGTTTTTTGTTATGAGAAGAATGTAAACGAGAGAGTTACCGCGCAACACACACACTTTTGATTTGAGCGATTTGTTTTTTACAAAAGAGAATTTTTTAGATTTGTCATATTAGCTTTGTTTCAATACTTTACATTTCAGTCTAGAGAAATTATTGAAAATTTAAATTGGAAAATTCAAAATTTCTTTAAACTAAACATAAAGGATGCTGTTATTGAAAATTGTGGCTAATACAAGAAATCTAATTTCAAGATGGAGAGTTCAATTGGGAGAGAGAGGGAGAGACAAATGATTTCTCCTCGGTTATTTTCTCTGGGGGGAGTTTTTTTTTACTGGCAGTTTTAGAGTTTTTTTAGTTAACGCCTTATACAAAAAATAATTGCACAGCTTTTCAAAAAAAAAAAAAAAACAAAAATATGAATAAAGAAACCCGAACAAAAAGAGAACTTAAAAATAGTCAACGAGAGGTGGAATGGAAAAGGGGGGGAAGAAAAAGTATAACTTTACAAGTATTAGAAATTAACTTTTTTCTTTTTTAGTTTTTTGTACAGGAATGTATGTTTTTTGTTGTTGTATATGATTAATTTGTTTTGTTTTTTTTTGTTCTTTCGATTCAATTGGTATATCAATTGTAAGGTATTTTTTCTTTGTTAGTTAATAATCATAATAATAGATCATAATAATAGGTATACGTAAATATGTTTAAATATATATAACTGATTTTTAGGTTTTTTTTACTTTAAACTATTTTTGTTTTTTTTCTTTTTGTGTTATATTGTAATATTATTTATATATATGTATATACTCTTTAAACAACAAAACATTCTTTTTTTGTTCTAATTTAATTAAATTTATTTATATTTTTTCGGCCTGTCTTCTTTCTCTGCCTTCCCATATATAATATTAAATGTATTTGTTTTCTTGTTTAGATGTTTGGTTATTGTGTTTTATATATGTATATCCCGTTGTGTGTTTAATAATAATATCCTTGGTTCATGAGTTAATTGCTTAGTGTGGCTCAAAAGTAAAATACTTTAGTGTAGTTATATATGGCCATGCTTGCTGCTGTTCAAACAGATTTTTAATTTTGTTAATTATTATTAAACTAAAGAAAAACAATAAAGCTTTTTTGTTTTGTATATTTTAAATACTTAATATATAGAAATATTTCAAGTATTTAAAATCAACTGCAAAGGATGGTAGGGTTAGGGATTATTATATATCATTTTGAATGGCATATTGTTTTGTTATTTGCAATTTAACTATGTTTTTTTTTTCGTTTTACTGCTGCTGTTTTGCTTCTCATTTGTTATAATTACTTTTTTAGTTTATTAATTTAATTGTAAGCTAAATAAATTTATGCACACAAGAAAATTGTTTTTTGTTGAAGGGAGGAGGGTTTTTTTTTTTTGTGAGGGAAGAAGAAAATGAAAACACAATAATTATTGAAAGATACTTAATCGGCAAATTTACGGTTAACGTTACGTCCGAACAGGGCGTTACGGATTTCGGGTACCAATTGTTGTGAAATCAATTCCAAGCGGGATTCCAATGTGTTGGGTACCTGTAAAAGAAGAAGAGACAAAAGATAAATCAATAATAAATAAAAAACCAAAAAATATTTTATTAAAAAAAAAAAAAAGAATTTCCAAATCGGGCGAAAAAAAATGTGTGGGAGTTATATCAAAAAATTTGGTCTTTATCGGACAAGCATTGGGCACATTTGGTGCAATATTTTCATTAAATCGGACTAAACTGTATATGGGAGCTATATCAAAATCTGAACCGATTACAATAAAACTAAACACACACCATTCTAGACTTAATTCAATACGCTGTGTGAAATTTTATCGCAATCGGACTTACTTTGGTTATTTGGTGGCCAATTTCCGTGAAATCGGACAAAAATATATATGGGAGCTATATCGAAATCTGAACTGATTACAATAAAACTTAACACACGTCATACTAGGCTTAATTCGATACGCTGTGCAAAATGTTGTCGCAATCGGGCAAACATTGCACATTTGGTGCAAAATTTGCATGAAATCGGACGAAAATATATATGGGAGCCTTATCTAAATCTGAACCGATTTCAATAAAATTTAACACACGCGATTCTAGGCTCATTTAGGTAAGATGTGCAAAATTTGATCTTTATCGGACAAACATTGGGCATTTGGTGCACAATTTTCATTATATCGAACTAAATCGTATATGGGAGCTATATCGAAATCGGAACCGATTACAATAAAACTTAACACACGTAATTGTAGACATAATTTAATACGCTGTGTAAAATTTTATCGCAATCGGACTAATCTTGGACATTTGGTTCCCCATTTCCCTGAAATCGGACGAAAATATATATGGGAGCTATAGCAGAATCTGAACCGATATCAATAAAACTTAACACACGTCATAATAGGCTTCGGAACGCTGTGTAAAATTTCGTCCCAATCGGACTTACTTTGGTTATTTGGTGCCCAATTTACATGAAATCGGACGAACATATGTGTGGGATCTATATCGAAATCGGAATGGATTTCAACAAAATTTTACACACGTCATTTTCGACTCAATTCGGAACGCTGTACAAAATCTTGTCTCAATCAAACAAACATTGGACATTTGGTGCACCATTTCCATAAAATCTGTGGAAGATATATATGATAGCTATAGGTAAATCTGAACCGATATTAATAAAACTTAATACAGGTCATTCTAGGCTCGATTTGATAAGGTGTGGAAAATTCGGACAAACTTTGGGTCTTTGGTGCTCTATTTCCATAAAATCGTAAGAATGTATATGTGTAACCTTTCCCCATATTATGAACTAATTAATGTCGGGTAGTTCATATTTTCTAATTTGTTCAAATTTCAGATTCGACCAGCTTATTTACCGCTAATTCCCTGAATGTTTCAATACTTTAATGTTAGTTTGAGTGTTTACATTGTCAAGAGTTCACTTTATTATAGTTTACTCCTACTCCCAATAGACATTAACTTGGAAATTATATTACCAAAAAATAAATTTTTGATTTGAGAATAATTTATGTTAATATTTTAACTAAATTCCCCACAACACTAATGAACTTGATTAACACCTCGAAAAAAATATGCAACAACAACACTGACAATAACCAAAAAATTAGTACTCACCTTGATACGACCATTCAAGGCGATCAATTCAATACCACCACATGTATCGGCAGGCAAATAGTTATCGGTATCAACATCAACACTGACACCCTCATTTTTCATTTCCTTTTTGTATTCTTCAATGGCGGCTGGCAGAACTTCATTGACAAGACCAACATCAACTTGACGGCAACGCAAAATGACTGTGGGTTCCATAGTCTGGAACAAAGCTTGCAAAATCAACTTTTCCAAGACAACTTTGTATTGAGCTGGATTTTTGGTAACTTCACCCAAACGACGACGGGCATCCTCCAAGACGCTGGCAACATGATCTTCACGTACTTTGAGGACCTAAAAAAATAATACGGCAACAAATGAAAAATGAATGCATTATTTGGGAATGAAGTTGAAGTAATGTGAATGCACACACAACCTACCTTCAAACGAGCTTGATTAAGCATGTTGGAAGATTGAATTTTCTTTTGCAATTCAACTTGTTTTTCCTTCTTTTCATAGTATTCCATGATCTTGAGACGTTGTTGTTGCACCAAACGTCCCTTTTCAATGTTGAATTCTTCTTCGGCTTTGGCATCGATTTCTTCGGCCTTTTCATTGGCTTCTTGTTCGATGAAAGCCATCATGTGTTTGATCTGCAAACGAAAAAAAAAATTAGAAAAAATTGTATATAAAGAGTACAGAGGATATGTTCAATTGTTTCTAGTTCTTCTTCGTCCTCACATAGACGACAGTAATCCTCTCCGCTGGAGTCCCACTTCGAAGTGAGATATCTAATCTTGCAGTGACCTTTCATGATCCCCACAATGATTTTGATCTCTCTTATTGTGTGCCATCAGCGAAGATGTTCTTTTGCGAGAGAATTCAGGCCGGATAGATTTTGAGATTCTGCAAACAGGTTCTCTCAACCATCTGTTGCCGACTACCTCGCAGCAGAACGAGCAGATTCTGCCAATAAAATAGCCAATTGGAGGTTTCACTGATTTCTCAATCGGAAGATTGGACGACTGTGAGCCACCTGGAGCAAGCTCGTCGGCTATCTCATACCCTTCAATGACACTATATCCTGGAACCCAACATAAGCTAAATATCTGTCGTATATTATTCAGAGCAGACTTGCAATCATTAACTGCTTTTGAGTTTATAGTACGCGACCTACACCGCAGAGTAAGGAGCCACTAGTCCAGGATTCCTTATGGAAAATCTACTCTGATGTCACTAAAGTCTCTATAAGAGGGAACATAGTCACTAATGTAAGTATTTCTCCTCATAAAATCACAACCTGGCGTTATGTTGAAGATATTGGCGTGACCATAGTTTAGCGACTTCCAGGCATCCGTTTCTCGGAGCCTCAGGGCACACCTGGCCGCCTGGTATTTAATCAGATAGTCCAGTGGTTGGAGGTCAAGGATTGCATTCAAGGCTGCCTGTGGCGTGCTTCTTAGCGCTCCGGTAGTCTCGTACGAAGTCAATCGCTGTACTAAACTTAATTTTTCGGCAGTATTTTTTTTACCCTCTGCCACCTTATAAGCAACCATATGTAAGAATGAGGAGGACGATCGTCACATACAGCCAGTGTATGACCTCGGGTCTTAATCCCCAGCTCTTACCTATGGAGTTTTTGCATGAGTAGAGTGCCAGCAGTCATTTCTTAGAGCGTTCCCAACATTCCTATTCCACGTTAGTCTTATTCTATTTTATGAAAATAATATTAAAAAAATACCCACTTATATAAATTCTGGATTTAAAAAAGATTACAAAAACGCCCAAAACCCTTTTTATTAAAAGAATATTGAAGACTGTTTCTGTACAAAAATCTCCTATCCAAATTCCAATCATTTTTTTTTTCTGAAATACCAAGGAATGCTGTTGATTTTACATTTTTCATTCACTAATATCCTGATGAACATTGGCTCCTGTTTTTTTCATATATTTAGGCCGGTTTGTGGCCTACATATAGCTGCCTTTGTATTATTGTTAACATTAAGGTTTTTACATTAATTTTTGTATTATATAATTATTAATTAAAGGGATAAAGAAAGAGATAACTTTTTAAATTTGTTGACACAACTCAGTATCAAAGATTTACATTTAATTTACTATATATTGTTTCTTACTACGTTAAAAAGACCATTCAAAAAATTCCCTCAATAACTACATCAACCCATCTGCCACCCAAAAAAACAACAACAACAGTATATTATTTTATTCTCTGGCTCTCTGGTAACGGCGACACAGTTGCATACATTGATTGCTTGTCTGGCCGCCGCCGTAGCTGTCATTGATAATATAGCCTCTCACATAGTAGTGTTAATAACATACCCTGTTATGCGAGAGAGAGTCTATTGCTGTTTCATTCACTCTCACACAGAGAAAGCCCTACATTTTGATCACATGACTTCTGTTAATGTTTCGTGTTTGCAATCTTGGATATATTTTTTTTCTTTCCTTCAACTCTGTAAAAACAAAATAACTATACAAAAAAAAAGGAAAAAAGACAACGAGAAGGAAAATCTAATAAGAATTTCAATTGGTATGACAGGCAAATTGGAATTCCCTTACATGAAACTTTAACTATACAAAGAGATGGATGCACAAACAATTACAAATTGTTGTTTAATAAATGACAACAATAATTCACATGACATATCCCATGACTGGCTGGCTGCCTTCTCTATTCTACGCCATCTTGACTTGTCAAAAAGCTTAACTATTTTTTTTGTTACAATTATTTTTCATTGATAACTTTTGTTGGTATTGACTCTTTTATCTTCTTTTTCTTGTTGGTATCCAAATATCCTTTTTTTCGTTCTTTATTTACCTGTTTTTGAACATCAGCATCGCTCAAAGCCATTTTGCAGTTTTGTTCTGTTTTTTCACTTTACAACGAAGAAAAACGAATGGGGGAAAAACAAATTTTCTAATTGGCGAAAATTCAGGCTGCTGTCACACGCTTTCCTATGAAAATAACATATATTTATTATTAATTGATTTTTTTTGTTCTTCTTTATCAACACAATTATTTTATTCTTTTTTTCACTAAAATTGTATATTCACTTGGAGAAAAGTATGTGGTTGTGTGCGCCTCAAGAGTTACGTTGGTCTTGTACAAAAAAATTTCTGACTTTTCGAGTTTCAAGTCAAGTGATTGGTAGTGTTGTAAATATCCCATCATGTGAAAGGGAATTTTCGTGGGTAATTTTTGACACATTGGAGGTGTTCATTATGTGCGAAATACAACTCTGTGTTGGGGGTTGTATGTGAATGCAACACTAAATACATTAAGTGGGTTAAAGACACATAATACAATTTTTAGCGTTGTGTTTTTCTATTCTAAGCGGACTGCGTTCTTTTTTTCTATCTATAGAAAATATCCATTTAACTGCGGATTATTTTCTAACAATAACATGTCTTTTCAGATCAAGAATATGTTTTTGCTAAAGAGGAAATTTGTCTTTAGACTGTGTTTAACTGTGTCCGCCATTTTTCTCCCCTTTTAAATTACACAAAAAAAGAAAAAAAAACAAAATGTACATTACATTATTTTACTATTTTTATTATATATAAAGAATAAGTGTTTTTAAAAATAGATAGATATTACATAATTAAAACTAAAATATATAAAAAGATTTTCGTTATACATTACAAATAATTTCTCTTAAAAACTTAAAACATAAACAGTAACCCTTTGGTATTATATACACTAGTTCTGGAATTGTAATTTGCTAAAGATATTTGATATTTTGTCACACACTACATAATGACAAAATTCAATATATCAATATAATTATAATTGTAATATAATGTATATAATATTTATGGATATGTTTATGTATTAAGTTATTTTTCAATCTCAAAGTTTGAAATGTCTCTAACATGTTATTAAATTATTTTTTAACGATGTATTTCTGCAGGCTTTAAAAGTTTTGATCGTAATTTTTTTAATTGCTTGGAACTCTTTTTTTGTGTTGGAGATTTTGCTCTATATGTTGTCGTTGGTCTGTAAAGAAGAAAGAAAAAAGATGAAGTAATTTTTAGGAGAATGATTAATAATTATAATTTATTCCAAGAAGTGTGCCATTTACACCGAACGCGTTTAATGTTAAATCGTGTACCTCAAGAAATAATTCTCAAGTTTGGTTCGTTCGTTTACTTTTCCAGTAACATTTAATCAGTAAGAATTTGCAGAGTAAATAATAAAATTTTTCGTTCTCAAGTCAGAAAATTGCAAAAAGTAAACGAGCCGCATCCAGTAAAAAGATTGTATCGACACAGCTGATTAAAACAACAAAACAATTTGGCGCAAACCGGAAAACAGCTTTTTTTCTCAAGTCTAATGTCAAAAATTTTGACTTTGTTTACGTTTTCATAACGGAAGTCAATTCACAATAATGCATTTTGACAGCAAATTTGAGTGGCGCAGATAGCCAGCTGGTCTCCCTCGGTGACCTTATTTATAGGCCATGGTTTAACGATACAAAATCAAAATAAAGTTCACTAAACAATCAATTTGCTTGAGAACAATTTTGTTGTTTGTTTAAAAAAAAAAAAACTACAGATCCCTATGTCTGAGTAGAAGTGTTTTTTTATCGCAGCTGATCATTTTGTTTTATTTTACTATTTACGATCGATATTGCCGAATCTGCTGAACTGTTGGAGAATACAAATTTTTAAATATTTAAATATATTTGAATTCCATGAAAATTTTCCAAGATTTTCGATATTTTTAATTAACTTGTGGCTGCTGTGTGTTGCATAAGCTTGCTGTGTTGCTGTTGTTGCATTGAAGCTGTATTTTTTTGTGCATTCAGACATCTTTTTTGATTTTGTTGCTGTTTTGGTGATACTGATATGCCGGCCGGTCGAGTTACTAAATGCAAACTTTGTGATCAATCGGTCACAAAGACCCAGGCTAGTGTTTTATGCAAAGCTTGCAACTGCTGGATACATGCATCTTGTGCAAATATTGAGGAAAAAAATCTTTCAGTTTTGAGAACGGTCAAATCTTTTGCCTTTATCTGTGCTTCTTGTGAGCCAAATCTAAACAACAACTGTAACGATGGCGTTATTGAAAAGATAAACAGTTTGACGGCTAAACTTGATAACTTTATGGTCAACTATCAGACGGAGCAGAATAGCATGAAAGTTGTTTTGGAAGACATTAAGAAGGAAGTGAGTTTATGTGTGGCTGAGTTGAAATCCGATATCAATCAATGTAATGACAATGTTCGGCGTGTTGAGGTTGCTACTACAACTAAACTTGTTGCCCTGGATAGAGAAGACAATGTAATACACAGACGGATGAATCGCTCTGATATTCTTATTGGCGGCCTACCAGAGGGTTTGAGTGATTTGGAGGCGCCGGTGATAGCTTTAGGCTCGTTTTATAATGTACCGATTGCTAGTATGGACATCAACCACGTATGTTACATTAATCATAAGAAACAGATTCTTGTCAAATTTAATAAGGTAGCAAAGCGAGACACCCTGATGAGAGAATATTTTAAGACTCGCAATTTACGCATTTCTGACATATTGGTCGGTCAAGGTGGCGATTTAAATAACAGGGTATACCTGAACGATCACTTTTCTCCTGCAGCAGCACATCTAAATTATGTTTGCAAGAAACTTCAACGCCTGAAGGTGATTAAAAAATTTAAAATTCTTAATTCTGACCGACTTAAGGCTTGGCTTATGTTTACTGATGGCAGAGAAGATACGTACAATACTGGCCAATGTGATGCGCTGCTTCTTGATGTAGAAGGAAGTAGTAATTAAGTTTTTTCTCTTTTTATTCCTTTTTTATTAATTTCAACACTTCGTTTACTTTTTTTTTAATTATTTGAAAATCGATCTCATTTGCAGTATTTGATCAGCTGCGTTAGAGTTGTGAATATTATTTATTTTTTTTTAATTGTATTATGATAGATAATAAACAATTTTTTTTCTTTTATAAATGGTTCCCCACTATAACTACATCATTTGCTTTTGATGCCTTTTAGGGCAAATTTTGGGCCAGTAATAAGCAACAATGGGTATATTAGGTCAGTTTTGGAGTCATGTAATAATAAGCTTAATATTGCTCATATAAATTGTCGTAGTATAAGGCCGTCTATGAATACTGATAAGTTTACAGAGCTTAAGTCAATTTTGTCAGGATCTCGCTTAAGCATTATTGGAATCTCAGAAACATGGTTGAAACCGGATATCTCTAGTCGTGCAATTAGTGTGCCTGGGTACAAATTTGTGAGGAATGATCGCCAAAATGGTAGAGGTGGTGGTGTTGGCATATACATTTCGAGTGGAATTAAATATAATATTGTTCATAAGTCGTCCGTATTAGGTAAATGTGAGTCGCTTTTTATTGAGCTCATGTCTGGTGATGTCAAAGTCTTGTTTGGAGTGGTTTATTTGCCTCCTCCTGCAGATTTTGCTATGTTTGAAGATATCCATACCGATCTGCTGTTAGGATACTCAAGCATAGTGATTGTAGGAGATTTCAACTGTAACATGTTTGACTCAGTGAAAGCTATGTCTGTTCGTTCCACTTGTTTTCGTTTGAATTTGTCAATTTTACATAATTCCAAACCTACTCATTTTAGTGTGTCTCATTCTTCGTCTTCATTGATTGATTTTATGTTGATTAGCGATTATTCGATGGTTAATTTGTCTGATCAGGTTATATGCCCCTCTATATCTGACCATTCTCTTATATTTGCATCTTTCAATATCAGTGTTAACTTTTTTTGTGATGTTGTCGAGTATCGTGATTATATGAATATTGACTGGGATGGTTTTTATTATTATCTATCGACCTATGATATTAATACATTGAATGTTGCTGACATTGATCTGAAGTGTTCAGCTGTATCGTCTCTAATTATTAGTCTTTTTGAATTTGTGCCATTAAAACGTAAAAAGATATGTTCTGCTGAAAATTGGATGAATGTGAATCACATTGTATTTGCTCAATCACTTCGTGATTTAGCATTCAAAGCTTACCAGCGCAATAAGACTACTGATAATTGGAGAGTGTTTTGCAAATATCGAAATAAAGCCAAATCCATCATTCGACGTGAACGCAGAAAATTCTACTCCAAAAAATTCAATGTGATGGGTTCAACTGCTCTGTGGCGTTTTTTAAGGGGTGCTGGATGTATGGGTACTGACGACTTAATTTCTAATTTTGATGTTGATGCACTGAATTCCTCGTTTGCTGCTAGAAATTCATCTGTTGATGATTTCGATTTTAATTCTTTTGCTGATGCAGCAAATGGATTTTCCTTCAGTAATGTTTATATTGACGAAGTTATTTTAGCTCTAAATAGAATAAAGTCTAAATCAATAGGCGTGGATGGAATACCTGTTGATTTCTTGAAGTTAATTTTCCCATATATTTCAGATTATGTGTTAGATTTAATAAATTCAATTTTAATGTCGTCCACCTTTCCCCAATCGTGGAAAATAGCTCGTGTTGTTCCAATCCCGAAGGGTAATGTTGTTGATAGTCCTGATAGTCTTAGGCCCATATCAATTCTCCCTGTGCTGTCGAAAGTGTGTGAACATATTATGAGGGACCAGATACTTATGCATGTTAACAGGTACATTTACAACGGCCAATTTGCTTTTCGCAAGAACCATAATACTACAAGTCTGTTACTTTGCCTGACTGATATGATAAGGAAAAATATGAATCTTTCCAAAAATACAGTAGTGGTGTCGTTGGATTTGACAAAGGCATTCGATTCGATTTCCCATTCTACGTTAATCAGGAAGCTGATATATGAGTTCAATTTTTCAATAACTGCATGTAAACTAATTTTATCTTATTTATCTGGTAGATCCCAATTTGTTGTTTGTAATGGAAAATCCTCTGGTACGATTTTGCTCACTTGT